CATTAGGGTGCCCAGTGCCCGTATAAAATGATAGAGTGTAATTTCAATCATTTGCCTATAAGTTTGGGCCAAACTTGAGCCCCCCATTCAGGAGCACGTTATCATATTAGCTCCAGGAAAGCATGAATCTTGGATATCTAGTCCACATGCTGTTTTATTCTGTCACATTTCTGAAATCTAGAAGAATACGAAGTAGGCTCTCAAAAAGCCAGTAAAGAACTGGCTAAGAGAAGGAGGCGCTAAATAAAGAATTTATTTGTTACACGTTGGTATATTTCATTTCTTACTAGTATAATTTCTCACTTAATGTGATCCTCTCCCTGAAATGCTAAGAGATAACTTTGATCTGGACATGTTGTTGTTTCTCATGAAGGGATGCTTCTGGGACCCCTGTTTCATGGCAAGTTCATTATTTCCTTTTTGTCTTGGCTCCCAGTTTATGTTGCATTCATCTTCTCATCATCAGCTTTAAGACCTTTTATTTTATTATTTATTTTCTCTGAGTGGAAATTCTACACACTTGTTGGATTATTTAATCTTGATCAGCATGATAAATGATCTGGGTATATTTTATACTGGTGATGGAAATCTCCTTAAACTTGTTCATTAGTCAGTAATCTGCTTTTTCTGCAGCTCTTAGAAAGTTACCTTACCTTTGATACAGTCTCACAATGTGGAAATCTTGTTTTGCTATAATTCTGTGAAGGTGTTTGGTCTAGTCCATTTTAATTCCAAACTACTGTTACTACTTACCTTTAACTATAAAGGTACTTCATCACTGCTCAAGTTCAAGACTGTAATCCTGGCATTTTATTTGACTAAATGAAATAAAAATACTTGTATTCAGAGCATGTATATATTTCCCATATGCCACTGTAATGTAGAGAAACACTTAAATGGGTGTATTTTATTATTTGTAGGTTCAAGTTAATTAAGAAAGCTTATTGCATGTAAGATCAGTGCATTTTAGTCTGTGAGTTTACCTTAATTTTAAAATCAGTTTTTAACAAGTATTGTGTGAGTACCTCTTATTTTCTCAAGATCTTTCTAAGTGACATCTCCAAATTTTACTTTCTTTCCCTTTCTCTCTTTTTTGAGGGGGATGGTGGCAAACGCGATAAAAAAGTACATGTTAATATAATCCTTTAGCTGAATAAAATCAGTTGCCCACAGTTACGGATACTTTGGCCCTTATTTCCGCAGAGCGAATATTTGTTGGTTCGGTGGTTTAACCCTCTCAGTGATTTCTTCCGTCTCTTCAGTCGCACCAGCTGGACTGACCAGATCGTTTCACCTCCCAAGGCAGAATTCCTCCTTGTTGCGAAGTGCTTCCAGTCAAACAGAAAAACATACTTAAGACTTAGATTTTTATTCCTTCAGGTGATTTTTCTCTGTTGTATAGCATTTCCCCGAAAGCTTGATCTCATCCTCAAAGGACACGATGAGTGTGTTATGCTGGATTATTTTGCTTGTCTCAGGTAAGTTTATCATCCATAAAGGTGCTGCTAAATTATTAGCTCAACTCTAGTGTGAGTCAGAAAAGCCTCCCCACCATTTTGCAGTTTCTTAAGTAAGTAGACTAGCAGAATGTGGCTTTTTTTAAATTCCCATTGAATCTGCACATGGTCTGAGAAGTGAAAGAGGGCCATGATTGGTTGGTGATGTAGGCTGGTCCTGTGCGGTCTACACCTCGGCCCACTGCGGTGGCGTCTCTGCTCACAGCCATTTTCAGTTCTTTGAGCTGCTGATTCTTGCTTGTATAGATCTCCATATCTCTAAGGAGGATGTTTTTCTTCTTATTGGTTTAGACCTTCACGCAGGTGGAGGATTTCATTTTCTTGAACGGGCATCCTTGTTGCTTTTCCTCCCCTTTGCTTCCCCTTCCCTGTTCTCCCAGTCTGTTACACCTTTTCCTTAAAACAGTATCCGTCATGGACATTGTTTGCCTCTGCACATAGTCACAGTTTTCCCACAGTTAATAATTGCCTTGTATACTTTGATCTGCAAAGGGCTCTTTCTGCCTATTGCTAATTCTTCCCGGACCTCTTAGAGCCTCTCGGGCAGTTTTCCACGAGGTCGGTCATCACTGGCCAGGAGGGATACTGGGCACCCTGCCTGGGCAGTCTCGCCTTCCCAGTGGCCATGGGAAGAAAGGTAGAAAGAAGCAGATGAGAGGCATAGTAGTTTATTTGGCCCAGTGTGTTCAAAATGTTATTTCAACAAATACTACTGAAAATATGAGATATTTTACTTTCCTTTTTTAGTACTGTCAGCACAATCTGATGCGCATTTGAACACTTAACACAGCACCTCTTCTCCAACTGGCCCCCTCTCCTGCGCTCTCAGTAGCCACATGAGGGTGGTAGCCTCAGTATTAAAGCAATTTCAGGTGATGTCTTTCCAGGTTTTGTTTTAGAGGCATCTGTACTGGAGACCTCCTTCTTCTATCTGGATTGCTTGGTCTGGAGACATGACAGACATAGCTATCATCTTGAAACCTCTTCTTTTTTCCTTGATTGGATTCCCTGTTTCTTGGATTTCAGGTTTTCTCCTGATTTCCCTCTGGTGGTTTCCTTCAGTCACAGTGGGTGTGGTGGACAAACGCAGGTCACAGACCCATCGATCTCTTGTAGTCGTACTGCTCCAGTCTGGCCCCCTTGCTCCTAGGTCCAGTAGGGAGCACCTCCCTCCACAGTTTCAGTGGAAGTTTCCTTTGCCTTTGCTCTTGTGTCAGACTTTTTTTTTTTTAACCTTACTGTATCTTACACTTTCCTCTTTCTTGGTTTCTTTCTTTCCTCAGGGGGGAGATATGCTCCGTGTCTTGCGGAAGCTGCAAGCATGGGTGTGGTCCAGTGTTGGAGGCTATGCCGCTCTGCAGGGTTAATTTAGTTAATTTATTGCCCCAGCTGGCTGGGTGATAATTGGGTTGGTATAGAATTCTAGGCTAGAGATCCTTTTGTTTCAGGTTCTAAAAGCATTGCTCCATTGCTCTCTTTCAGTATTCTCAAAAAGTCTGAAGCCATTCTGATGACCTCATCCTTTGAAAGTGAACTATTTTTTCTTTCGAGGAACTTACAGAATATTTTCTTTTCTTTATTAAGATTTGTTTGTTTTAGGGAGAGAGAGTGCACGCGCACTTGTGGGGAGGGGCAGAGAGAGGGAGAGAAAATCTCCAGCAGACTCCCCGCTGAGCACAGAGCCTAATATAGGGCTTGATCCCATGACCTTGAGCTCATGACCCTAGTGGAAACTAAGAGTACGTGCTCAACTAACTGAGCCACCCAGGTGCCCCCAGAAATTTTCTTTGAAAGATTCTGGAATCACATATTAATGTGCCTTAGTGTAGGTCTGTTTTTATCATTATGGTGAGCATTTGATGGGTCTGGAAGATTTCCTTGAACTTTTTTTTTTTTTTTTAATGTTTTCTTTCCTTGTCTTTTGTTTTGCCGAATTTTCTATTGGTTTTGGGGGATGGGGGTGCTTTACTTTCTGGGAGGATTTCTTCTACCTTTACCTAACATTTTGTTCTGAGTTCATAGATACAATATCTATTCTTATCTCACTGAGTATATCAATAATACATTTTTTAAAGCTTTCTTTTCTCTGTAGATTAGGTCTTCCAAGGGGCTTTTTTCCTGTTTCATTTTTCTTGTAAATCTCTTTTATATTCGAAGCATTCTTCTCACATCTTGGAATCAGTGGTTGTCTGTGTGTGATGAAGAATTGGGGCTCACAAAGCAGATTGAAAGCCTTGAGAAGGTGGAAGGGGCCCATAAACCCTAATCTGGCCGTGAGTCCTCTAGCTGGGCTATTGGTTGTATGCCCTGGTGATAGTATCTTCTGGTCTTCCCTCTTGTCTGCTTGGATCACATGCAAAGCGCTCTGATTTATATTCTCCAGAAGATGATTCTCTGGAGTTCTGTGGGGTGGGGTGGCAGGCACCCAGCAGCACGGAAGGGGGGCAGTGGGGAGATCCGCTGCTTCTCAGTCAGCTCCAGCCCGGTCCCCTGCACTGAACCCCACCCCTCCATCCAGAAGCAGCATTTCTGGAGCCTCTGCAGGATTCTGTGGTGGAAATGGGCTGGTGCTCTGCTTTCCCCACTGCTGGCTTATAATTGAGCTTTCTCAGACCAGCCAACTACTAATAAGGTTTCTATCTTCCAAAATTCTGTCGCTATCTTCTCCTGTTCTGCCCTCTCCTGTGAGTTTGCCTTTTTTTTTTTTAATTGTAGTAAAATACACATAGCAAAATTTACCGCTGTAACCATTTTTAGGTGTATACCTTAGTGGCAGTAAGTACATTCACATTGTCGTGTGGGTTTCTTTTAATAAGAACAAAATACAAATTGAAAAGATTTTTAAATGGAATTACAGTGGTGTTTGAGAAGAGCGGGATCAGATGCCTGTGATCAGTCTAGCAGGAGGCATGATTCGGGTCTTCTGTTAACCCAGGCACTCCTCTTTCGGACAGTTTGCTGTAATGGGGTTTATCTGCCATCTCCTCAGAAAACAGTTGGACAGGTGTTGGCATAAAAGTGCATTTTATTTGCCCTCAATCACTGTAGCTTTATACAGGGCTACAGGGCACTGCCAGGCGTGACGTTCAAGGCTTTCCAAGATCTAGCCTGCCCACCTGTGTGCTCCAGCCGCCTGTCACTGCTCCCGTGAGCCCACTCACTGTCCCTCGCAGAAGATACCACCTCCCCCCATCCCTCTCCATCTCCCTGCCCTCTTCCACATCTTTGCAGCTCCCAGCCCCACGCCTTCCTCCCACGGCAGGCATGTGGTTGTTCCTCTTTTGGTTTCTCTTCCTGACCTTGTACATGGCTCTGAATGATCACCTTGCATTTCCCACACTGCCTAGTGCTCTTTGATATGCGTTTCTGTCCCGGGTCCCCTCAGTGCCTGGCATGTAGCCCACACTTGTTAAATGTCCGCATGGATTCCTGATGCCAGAGATTTCAAAAGAGAACTCTTTATCCTTTTTTTTTCTTTTGTAGGATATCCGACACGAGGCCAGTGACTTCCCATGTAGAGTGGCCAAGCTTCCTAAGAACAAAAACCGAAACAGGTACAGAGATGTCAGTCCCTGTAAGTATTCACATCGCCATTGCCAGTCTCCCCGCTTCCACTGGGTGCGCGTGCAGCGGCGTCTTCTCAGCACAGGGCCTCTCCGGCAGGACCCCTGAACCCCGGGCTGTGGTCGTAAAGCCATAGAAGTACAGCTTTATGACATGGTTGTTTCCTGTAATCAAAGCATCAGAGGCGTAGAGTAATGGTTTGTTCGTTTCTTCCACGATTGTAGAAGGAATAAGGTTTCGGTTTCTGGAAAATTCAGCTAAGTTCAAAGCACTTTTTTTAGCTTTGACTATTTTTATGATGAATCATTTTCCTCCCAGCTGAAGCGGAGTATAGTAGGCATAATATAACCTTTTCTGGATGACTCAGCAACAGTATTATTAGACCCCGAGCAGTGTCTTGAACTGTGCCGGTGCCCCACACAGCCACTGAAGAATGGGAGTGGCGTTTGCCCTCCACTAAAGACAACTTCGTTCCTTGAGTCCCACCCCACCCACCCTACCACGCACCGCCATCATCATTCTTCCAGCTCTTTCTTGCCATTATCTCCCAGCATGCCTGCTGGCCTCTGACAGCCTCCTCTGCCTTCTGAGTAATTGGCTCTGAATCTGCTGATATTTCAAAAGTCAAGAACTAAAGGTTTTAGAATTTGTGTAAAGCAAGAAACACTGGAGCCAAGTAAAGGGCATGAATTTCGCCACCTCCTCTAGGCCACAGAGAACCCTCGGACTCCCCTCCAGGGATTTTAGAATCTGTCCATCAGAGATGGTTGTGGCTGCCAGTGTCTCCCGTGGCAGTCCCTTCCATCTGCCAGCGACACAGAAGACACAGTCAGTCTTCCCTTGCCCAGGCGCTTCCCGCACGCCTGCTAGGTCACACGACTCCCATGGGCGCTGGTGTCTGCCGCTCTCTGCGGGGGAGTCAGCAGTGCCTCCTGCCCGGAGCTGTGCAGCACCTGGTTCCTGGGAGGGGCACACAGTGGACCCAGGTTGGTCCTGGGCAGTCTGCCTCTGCGTGCTGCCTCGGTTCCCCACCCGGCGGTGTCTCAGCCTGCCGCTTACAGTTGTGTGGCTTTGGGCGGATGGGTCTATTCTCTGATCTCCAGTAAAGCAGGAGCCACGCAGATCTCAGGATGGCGTGAAGATGAAATAAAATAACATAAACCACTTAGCCCAGCGCCTGGCTCATAAACGTTCTCCGTGGTTGAGACGGTTGTTAACTGAAGGCGCACGCCAGGCACATCTGAAGTCTAGTGCTTGTGCACAAGTGCCATGTGATGGTGCCCCAACACTCTTGATTCAGCACGTCTAGGCTGTGGCACCTAACATGTTTTATTTAAAAAAAAAAAAAAACAAAACCTCGGGTGATTCGGTTGTAAAGCCCCCGCCAGCAGCTCTGAACTACAGAGAATAATCACTGTTGGCATCTTTCATGCAGAGCCAAGAGACGCCCCCCTCCCCGCGCCTTGCCGTCCTTGTTCTACACGAGGCAGTAATGTCCTCTTAATATTTCTTTTCTACATTTTTCATTAGTGCTCATCTAAATGGTTTTATGAGTCAATTTTACAGATACAGAGGGGGAAAGAAAGGAATATTTAAAATATTCTTCCCAGGAAACAGCTCCCAAACCTTTTCACTCCCAATCTCCCTCCTGTTTCTCTTGTTTTCCCCCAACTCTGCAGTAGGACAGATAATTTGCTCTTAAGGTCAGGGGGGACATGAGAAGAATGATTCAGGTAGAAAGTGATCTTTTGTCTGTCTTCCATTTGGCCAATGAAAAGCCCAGTGCTCAGAGGAGAAATTGTTTCTCCAAGGTCACCCAGTACTGTTGGAACCCATTCATATAAACCCCCAAGGGTTTATATGGTCTCATCATTTTTCTTTAAGATCTATCTCCATGACTTAAATATTACCCAAGTATTCCAGTTTGTATTAATCCTCTACGATGAGAAACATTATTCCAAATGGTGACTGATTTTTGAAAACATTTCCTTGAAATCTTTTAGAACAGAAAGCCCCAAACCATGTGTCCCCATTAACTTCTCCTTTCCACCTGGGCTAGAGAAGAAAAAGTAGTATTTATGACAGCGGTCACCTGCGTTCATCATCCCCTGTGTTGTACCAGAAGTAAAAATAACCCCCTGTTCTTGTTAGCTGCACTAGCAGGATCAGGAAAGTGGCCCTCAGGGAACCACTGCTTATGTGACAAAGTCATGGTAAAAGGAAAAAAAAATGTAGCTATGCATTTTCAGTAACCTGGGCAGACCTTTCAAATGAGAGTTTATTTTTGAAAACTTTTGCAAGTTATATTTGATGTATTTTTGGTGTTTTGGACTCTAGAGTTTATTTTTTCCAATTAATTATCTTTTAAGTCTTTGATATGACAGTTCCTGAACTTGAAATATTAGAATTCAGTTCTAATTGAATTTTGTTCATAGGTTAGAATCATTTAAGTATATTACACTCAAAACTTAAAACAACAACAACTTTATATAAAGGAATTCAGGTAACCTTTTCCACACAACCATATATTTAGGTCATTTCATCTTCAAACCATTAGACATAGATTAGGTGGAAATATGATCATAAATCCTACCAACTCTAGAGCTCTAGGGACTGGATGAAATTTTCGGTGGATTTTTTTCCCTTTTAAAGATTGAATCCCCTGTATTTTTTTTTAACCTTGTGAAAGTTTTTATTAGGCATCCAAGAAAAGATCCCTTGGCACCCCCTCCTCACAGCCTCCTGAGTTGTGGGGCAGTGATAAGTGTAGGAAGATAGGACCTAAGAATAGATTGTCCAATTAGGACAGAACCCATGTTTTAGTGTCGTTTGTCCCTGTTGCTATTTAACATTCAATTTCAAACACTTCCAGAAACCTTTCTGAGAATACTAAGTCATCCCCTTATTGATGACTAATCTCAATTAAAAGCCAGTGTATGATTAAAAGCCAGCCAGTGCAAATGCCCTTAATGCCACCGACTCACCTTTTTCGCTTTCCCCATTGGGTGCATGACCTTTGCGGACGCTTTGGTCCTGCAGGACTAACGTCCGAGTTCTGGCTTGCCTTTCAGTTGACCATAGTCGGATTAAACTCCATCAGGAAGATAATGACTACATCAATGCCAGTTTGATCAAGATGGAAGAAGCCCAAAGGAGTTACATTCTTACCCAGGTAAACGGATTGTTCAGAATTTTTCTAATGGTTTTTGCCTTACTTGATGTCAACTTGAAAATTGTCCAGTACTGTCCTTTATACTTCACATGAAACCTGCCGCCTCCTTTAGAAGGCCAGGTTGTACACAATCCAAAAAAGCGAGAAAGGAAAAATATCTTCCTTCAGAGATAGGGTTTGGTTGTAACATGTGATTTTTCCAGGAAGTATGCCGCTGCTGGGCTTACAGAAAATGGCCTGAAATGCCAGAATTGCCTGTGGTCTGCTGACAGAGGCAGTAGGGCCATGGCAAGAGGAGGGCCTGTAAGTGTTCACCTCAGGGCGCTGAGGGCTGCTCACGGAAATCAAAGCAGTAGACCAGTAATCTTCGTCCAGGTGTCCACTCAGAATTCCTCAGCATGGTCTTCATTCTTTGGCCCTGAAATAAAGCATCCTGAGATGAAATGGATAAGCATGCAAAATCATTTAAAATTCCCATTGCCTTTTGGCATCTTTGTGGAAAAACATAAAAATGATTTACTACTACTTGACCTTCTTGTGAAACACTTATTGGCATATGACCCAAAGACCGTGGGTCTCTGGGAAAGAGGATAGAGAAGTTTCTTTTTAATTCATTTTCTCAAGTCTTACTTAGTCTGTTACCTGTAAGTTGCTCTAAACACTTGACGTTTCTTTCTTTTTAGTCATAGTTTTTGCTTTCTCATTCCATATCTGTTTATCAGTGTTCTCTATGGCTTTGGGGTATAGGGTGATTTTGAACATGGTACTTCTGTTTAACACTGGGAGATCAAGGTGATAGCGAAGCCAGAGAGCATATGAACAGAGGCTGCCTCGGGGCAGGGAGCTGATCAACATACCTACCATGGCCCTTCTTTACTGCCCCATCTGGTCCTGTCCCAGTTCCTCTCTGTCCATGAGGAATATCATCTCAGATGCCTCCCAGTGTATGGAACATCAGCCACGCCATGTTCAGCCCTGGGGCGATTGAGGAAGTTCTTGGTATATGTGTAGGGGGCAGGCCTTTTACCAGGCCTCAGCCTGTGGTCTTCCTAGCACCTCTGGGGTTGTTGGGGTAGGGTGATAAGGAACGAGATCCTGGTGGTAGCAAGCTGGAGGGAAGGGGTTGAGGGAAAGGCAGCTTCTTGGTAACTTCTCTTTTTAGAAGACAAGTTTCTTTTTTTTTTTCTTTTTCTTTTTTTTTTTTTTTTTCAAGGTTTCTTACTTCTTAATCTTAGCCATTTAACTTTGGTGTGATAGGAAGTCCAAAGCAAAGACGGATAGACGTAGAAAGTCAAATGGAGCGCTAGGATATAGCCATGCAAACTGTCATACTACTGTCTTCCCCAGCCTCATGCCCTAGCAATTACTTGCACATCTGAAGGTCTCTCTGTTTTTGTCAGGTGGTACCATGGGCATTCCTAGCTGCCTGCACGGTCACCCTTTGCCCTGGGATTTATAAAAGGGATCAAAGTAGCCTGACCCCAAAGTTGTACCTCTAGAGAGTAGGAGCGACACATTTTCTAGGCCACAAAAACGAAGAAAACCATGACCATTTTTTAAATTTTCAGTGCTGGTCATTATGCAAATAATACAAATCTGTAGTTTTGTTTTGTTTTGTTTTGTTTTTTAAGGCAGTGGTATGGAAATGTAGAGAATAATGTCAAAGATGCCCTCTGTCACTTCCACAATGAAGTGTTAGCTAAGTTCTCCTTTGGATCTTATATGATTTTTCATCCCTGAAACCCATTCTAAGCTAGGGTGCTGGGGAGCAGGGACAGTGACAGGCTGGTAACTGGTGAGAGCCATAGCTGTGAGACCGGGTCCTTGGGCCCAGGCTGCAGACTGTAAGACCCAGGTGGCCAGCCAGGAGGCCCCGGGACCTCTGTCTTCTGGGAGCTGTGTTTCTGTTAATTGGCTCGAAAGGGTGATGTATCTGACTTCTGTTGTCTGAGGCTCTGTGTGGAGCTCAGATGTGTCTGGTTTAGGCAGCAGGAGGGAGCGGAGTTCAGGAAAGTGAGTGGGCGTTGAGAGCTCATTTGGTCAGGGAAGGTATGGAGGGACTTCAAGGGAACAGATGCAAATAGTCGGGAGAATTTGGGTAAGAAGAGGTGACACCAGAAACCATTCTAGACATGGTGCTGGTTGGAGGAGGTGACATGCTATCATGGAGGTGAGAGGTGATGTCCCTTCTGGGCAGTACTAACACTTGACACAGCAGGGGGCATTCCTATTCTGGTATCCAGTAAACATCTGTGCCCATTGCTAGGTTGGCAGGCAGCCCACCATGTCCTGGTGCCCACGCTGGACCCCTTAGGCCCCTTGACTGATGATATGTGTCTACATCTCAGATGTTCGTTGGTCCAAGGAGGAAGGCAGTCCATGGTCAGTCCCATCATTATTGATAGTAATAGCTAACGGTTTACTAGCTATTTACTGTCTTCCAGGTGCTGCAGTAAGGCCTTTATGTGTAAGAACGTAGTTAACTTTCATAACCCTCTGAATAAGGACTGTGATCAGTCGAGAGCAGTGGGTGGAGAAACTGAGGCATGGAGATGTAAAGTGACTTGTCCAAGGTCTAATGGATGATAAGTGACTGGAGCTGAGACTCCAGCCCCTGGAAGTGTCGCTGACAATCGCTTCCCCTACTGCTTCTTGCCTGCACCCCTAGCTTTGTTCGATATTCCATCCGTGCTCCAGAGGGACCGCAGTGGGGCCCCTCCACCAGTCAGCTCACGCCAGAAAGTAGAATCAGCCTTTTCCGTCCTCTGTGGGTCAGCCCCAAACCAGCCCTGAGAGGCAGAAATAACCTTTCACCATGTGGCAGAAAATAGAATTGAGGTTACTGACTGCTAGGCAGGGAGGGCAGTCCCTGTCCGAACCCCAGCCGCCACTCTGCCGAAGGGCACGGTCATGGCTAAGTGCCGGCGGTGTGCTCACATTGGAGCACGTGCGATGTGTCCGAGCACATGTCCACGTGTAAAATGGTATACACTTTGTGGATTGTGTATTTGCAGGGCCCTTTGCCTAACACGTGCGGTCACTTTTGGGAGATGGTGTGGGAGCAGAAAAGCAGGGGCGTTGTCATGCTCAACAGAGTAATGGAGAAAGGATCGGTAAGTCATGGATTTATCTGCTATTTACCTCACCGTCCATATGTGTCCCAGTCCGTGAAGTTGACATTTTTGTCTGAGTTTATTTCTTTACATTGCTTTTGTATTTCTTTTACGTTGTATCTGCTTTATTAGAAAAATTTAAAGAAACATTACATAAATACATGTCTGTTAGTCTGAAAAGTAAATGAATTAAAAAGAGGGGGAAAAGTCATTGCTCTGGACCTCTTCCACCCCTGCCCCCCCGCCCCCATCAGTCGGTCTCTCCCCAGAGTGCTTGCGCGTGTTCTGTGGTCCTCTGCCGGGGGTTCCGGGGCTGCTACTGTTCCTTTATGGAGCTGTGTAAGCGTAGCTTTATTCTGAAAAGCAAGTTTCTTCTGTATCCTCCTCGTCTCTGCTTTTCTGGCTGGACAAGTTTGCCTCCTGTTGACTGAGTTGTGGGAGCCGCTGCATTTGGGAAAGCTTCTGTCAAATACCCAGACGCCTGGCGCTCGGCCGCCTCGTTAACGTGGACGCTGTCTGCCTGTGCGTTTACTGGAGGATTGGTGTGGCATTTCTCCCAAGTTCTCTGCAACTCTAAAACATCCCCAGGGATAGCATGTGTACCGGACGTGCGTGACGGTCTGGGCAGCACCTGTCCCTGCAGTCGCCGCTGTAGCCTCTCGACTTGCTCTCCTCCGTGTATCCTACCCCCGGTGTCCAGAATGGTCTTTCGAAACCAAGTGTCCCTACGCCTCTTCCAGCCAAAAACCCTTGTGCAGCCCCCACTGGTTCCTGGGATATATGTAATATGGCTACAGGACCTAGTTAACCTAGACCCCGATGTCCCACCTCCATTTCCAAACTCCAGCCAGAACTTCTGTTACTGGTTTCTTGCCAGGTTCCCTGGCCTGACAGCTGAGTCCCCGCCCGGCCCCACCCCTCTGGCAGGTTCTCCGGGTGCTTCCTTGGATCAGCCACCGCTCGTGCTCTCCTCACTGCCCCCCTCCAACTCTGCAGATTGCCTGCTGGAGGCCTGTCTCCCATGAAAGGCGATGTGTACAGCGAGCAGTGTGGCAGCCACGTAGCGAGTGGATGCTGCACCCTTGCTTCCCTGGCTCCTTCCCTCTTTTCCCGCCATGGCCAGCACACTCCGGCTCTCCAGCCTCAGAGGCGGAGGCCCTGGGATGGGCTCAGGAGTGTGGATACCAGGAGGAGCGAGCGGCCCAGGCACGGAGAACTGCATGTGCCCAGGGCCTTGCCAGGTGCTGGCACAGTGCGCTCGAGCTCAGTGGGGCCGCTGCTTTCCCTGCTGGCCCGGCCTTCTCGGTCCCAGGCTTGCCAGGAGAACATGCAGGCTCCAGAGAAGCTGCCCCTCCAAAGAAAGCACAGTCATGGCCTTAGAGGGAACAGATACAAGTGCAGAGAAGTAAGACATCAAAGGAAACGTCAGTGGTCAAAGGGGAAGCACTCACCGTCAGGCCCCTCCCCTCCCCCCACAAAGTGACAGCCTTAGTTACAGTAGATCGTCCTCTTAAGACAGCACAAGTTTAAAATCATGGTTTTTGCCTCAGTCCCTGTTCTTAAAGCATCTATTTCCTTGATGATAACAGATGAAGAGCATACTTGAGTGTTGGAAGAATGGAATAATGCTTCCGAGACTTATTTTTTTTTTTCAGTGAAAGTGGCTTTTAATGTTTTCTGCTTTAGTGGCTTGATTAGTAAAATGTGAAGTTACAAGTGCGAAGCCAGCTCTCAACCGTCACCACTCTTGTCAGCAATTTTGAATAAAGAAACTTTAGGTTCCCACAGCACATACTCTCCGCAGGGGAAGGTGACAGAGATAGGGTGGCCTTATGTGTTCGGCCCTGATGAGCATTCGGGGTCTCGGGAGCTCAGTGCTGCCCACAGGGGGGCCACTAGCATACCCACTCCCACGTGTGGCCATCCAGAATGTCCCCAGACATTGTCCAGGGTCCCCTGGGGTGCAAAATTGCTCCCCTTGAGAAGCACTGTTCTCGATGGCATTGAGGGTTTGGGACTTTTAAATCAGGTTCGTTATTCAGAAATGATTGGATATGGTAGCATTTCCTTTTTATTTGTTCGTTACTATATTTGAGTGAAACCTCTTTGCTGTTGGCCCAGACTAGCCAGGGTGCTGTCCTGTAGCTGCGTGCTGGCCCCCAGGCCTGCCCTTGGCTTTGTCTCCCATCCAAGGCTGACTGTAAACGGGCAGCTTTTCCCCTTGGCCACTTAAAAAAAAAAAAAAAGGAAACCTGGCTGGTTGGTTTCCATGCGGTTGACTGTGACCGTGTGACAGTAGTCTCTGTTTCCCTGTGGCACTGCTCTCCTACTCAGGGTCATTCAGCCAGGCACACTGGCGTGGAAAGCAGCAGGTGGTTTGAGATTCTTAATGTTTCTTGGGAATCAACGATTTCAGCTTGTCATCAACATTTATCCTCCCCATTAGAGCTGACTGGGGAAAATTCTAAGAAGTCACCGTGTCTTTCTGCTCAGCTGATGTAGTTATGATCTCTGCATACAGCCTGCAGTCAGCCCGGCTTGCGGAGTGCTCCCATGCAACGCGTGTTTGTTTTCTGGTTTCCTTCCTTCTCTGAACAGTATAGGATGTGCCCCTCTTACTTTTGGCAGACCTGCCTGTTACCGTTTTGGGCTTTTGTGCTTCCTGGAAAACAGTGGTACAGAAGATGATTATGTGTGTTAGACGGAGCTCATCCAAGTAGCCCAAGTTCTTGGGGGTTCAATTTAAAGAAGGAGTTGAGACATGTCCGTGAAGAGTATATTTGGGTGCAAGGGCGGGGATTGTGTAGGCAGAGAAAAAGACAAACAAGGAGGTGTTTAACCAGAAATATCGCCTCTATCTCTCTCCCAAAACCCCAACTAAAGGTGCAGTTTGACTTCAGTACTTTTGTGCACATGAGACTCTGGATTTTTCTGAAGATTGCCTGGCTGTTTGGGAAGGCCCCAAGGCCTCTCTCTCACATTCAGCTTCGAGGCGGGAAGGGCAGCTGTGATGGACAGCTAGCTGTCATTTGCTGCTGACCCAGGATGCAGCACGATTTGAATCCTGGGGAAAGACTGCTTTCTAATAAAATACGTCTCTTCTCCGGGGTAGGGGGATGGATCGGTTTAATAGAAGAGTAATAAGTCGTGCTCTTGAGCTTATTTTTGTGTTTTGTTTTATTTTGTGTGTTAAAAGTGTCTACAGGAAATGACAGCAAGCAGAGCACGGCATGTTGCTGTGGATGCCTGCGAGCTCTTAAAAATAAATATTGCTTGATTGACACCTAGCACGCACTGGCGTTGCGCGGTAGCAGAGTTCCTGAGTCTTTACCACATCACAGAGACTTACTGGGCTTTAGATTTGCTTTTGAAAGTGAGTGTTTGCTGTGTGGAGGTGAGCTGTAGAAGACTCCTTCCCTGCCCATGAGACCTGAAAGCACCGGCCTCTCCTCTGAGATACGCACCGTCCTGCGTTTCTGCTTCTCTGTGTGTGGTGTTGGGGACACGTTCCAGCACATGGGGCGCCGAACCCACCAGGGCAGTCTCTCTGCCTCTGGGGTCTTCAGGAATTGCACAGGTCTGATTACGGAAGTGTGGGAAGACGAGCATCCTTGAAGTGTCTTCCCCGGTCCCCCTTTCAGCTGCCCCACCCCTTTGGGTCCACAGAGGACCTTGCCGGGTTACTGCTGCTTCCATGTCCTGAGTGGCAGAATTGCTCTGATGCTGGCAGGTTGGTCCTGTTCCAGGGGTTCATTTGGCCACTTCTCTTCGGTGTTCGGAGGGGATGTGGATGAAACCGGCTCAGTCTTTCCAACAGGCCCAGTCTGGTGTCTCTCAGTTTGCTGCTTCTTTTTCTCTTGTTTTTTTGGGCGGTGCAGCTTCATTAGAGCAGGACTGATGGGCCTTCCTGATTCTATCCGCACTCTGCTCGGGAGCCTCCTGGCCCTCCCCTGCCCAGGTGACACTGCGGATCCCGAGCCTGCCCCCAGAGTCACTGTGGCCTGGTCTTCCCTTGGCCCTGCTCCCTGTTCCTCTGAGACTGACTTCTGGGCCGTCACTGCCTAGGAAATCCTAGTCACCCCTCCAGGCACGCCTCTGTCAGAGGCCACTGTTTTTTTTGTTTTGTTTTGTTTTTTTAAGATTTTAAAAGAGCGTGAGGTGGGGGGTGGAGAGTGGAGGGAGAGGGAGAAACAGACTCCCTGCTGAGCAGGGAGCCAGATGTGGGGCTCCATCCCAGGACCCTGGGATCATGACAGAGGCCTCTCCTTCCATAGGGTTTTCTCTCATCTCTTGCATGTAGCTTCCGCTGGCCTGGAACCTTCGCCTCTTCTGAATTCCCACAGCACATCCATAGTGTTTACTCCCGCTATGCCCCCTTGTCACTGATCTGCACCTCTGGTCTCTTCTAACCAGCAGAGGCTGGGCCTGGAGGGGCCTCCTCCACCTGCCCTGGCATTTCAGGTGGCTCATCCTGCAACTCAGAGGAGGTGCGGGGGGCGGGGGGCAGTCCGCATTCAGGTGCAGTGGGCGTGGATTTGTACCATTTCCTGAAGAGCTGGCTGCACACACTGATAATTTCATGTGATGGAAATCATCGTGTCTTTGGGGTTCCCTCTGTCTAGGCACATTGTCCGACCCTCTGGCTTATAGACCTTACAACTTAGCCCCCATCTGCCTGCTGTTTTGGTTCACAGCATCACCATCACCAAACAGAAAGGTATAGTATAGAAACGTGACTCAAAGTACACCACTAAATTTGAGTCAAACTTTCTTTCTTAAAACTCTTAAGTGATGGGCACTTAGGTGGCTCAGTTGCTTGGGTGACTGCCTTTGGCTCAGGTCATGATCTGGGAGTCACTGGATTGAGTCCCACATCAGGCTCCCAGACTCCGTGGGGAGTCTGCTTCTCCCTCTGACCTTCTCCCTTCTCATGTTCTGTCTCACTCTCATTCTCTCTCAAATGAAAAAATAAAAAATCTTAAAAAAAAATAAAATAAACCAGCTCTTAAGTGAAACCAAATCTTTGGGAGTTTGCTGGCTTGAAGAAAAAGTGAATGAGCTATGTTTAAATGAAGACCATCGAATAGTTCCTGGAATTATTAAACTAGAAAATCAAAAGAAGGATTTTCTGGTACTGAGCCAAACCAGAATGAAAGGGTGGGATGGGGCAGCAGGCGACCCTAAGCCTTGGAGGAGCCCCTGTCTACGCCTTCTCTGAATATTCAGTTACAGCCCTCCAGCCTGCACAGGTGTCCCACAGTCTCCTCCAGACTTGGTTCCGTTCCCCCAGGTAAGTGGTCTGCATTGGGCCAATAGCACCAATCCGGTTCTCGGTGATCTTCAAAATGGCTACAGAAAGTACTCTGTGAGAGACTAAAGCTGTGGCACAGTCTGGCTTCACCTCATAGACAGCCTGGAAAGCCAGACCCCCGAAGCCTATCCTTGTGTAGGGAGAACCAGGGAGCAGCTGTGTTTGGAGGTCCAAGCCCTCTCTGCCCAGCCAGCCCTGGGTCTCCACCGCACCCCCCATCTCCCTCAGAGGCAGGCCGGTTATGCTGATGGTGACATCCAAGGTCAGAAAACCCCCAGTTTACCTTTGGGTTGTCCTGAAGCTCCTGGAAGGAACTCTCTACCTCCCTTCGAGGGAAAACAGTCCATTGCTTATAGTAATTCATCATTTTCTCTCCTAGTTAAAATGTGCTCAGTACTGGCCACAAAAAGAAGAGAAAGAAATGATCTTTGAAGACACAAATTTGAAATTAACCTTGATCTCTGAAGATATTAAGTCATATTACACAGTACGGCAGCTGGAATTGGAAAACCTTACAGTGAGTATGGCATGTACTCCGTCCTTCCCACGGCCGCTGCTTGAGATGTCTTTCCGCCTGGGTGCTATTACCTAATGCCACTTTTTCTGAGTTTTGTACACTCTGACCAAGATGTGGTCTTAGCCCTGTGGGAAGCAGAGCTTACCCGCTTACCTACCAGGGGAGCTGGGGGCGGTGTGTGGTGGTGAGTCTGGGAAGGGGGGGAGGTCCTCAGGCCCTCCTCCACAGAGCTCTCTCCCTGAACTGTAACACTAGTTCATCATAGTCTCTAGGGAAAAGGGAGTTTCTCGGCTAAAACTTCTCACTGTTCCTGTCTTTGCAACTGCCATGGAACTGATGTGGTGGCCGCAGGTCACATAGTGGCCACTGCCTTGTTTCTTGTCCACAGTCTCTTTAGCTTGAATCGAGGGAAGAAGGGCCCTTCTGGGGCTGACTCCCAAGTCACTAGTGTACATTTTCTAAGTGAGGTTTTGGGCTTATTTGTCTTGGCTGCTGGCTCTCCTCAGAAGGTGGTCTTGGAACAGATCAAGGCACAGGGCTAAGCAGCAGCACCACAGAAGGCCCTACCCACAGGGATTCTAAATAATTTTCCAGAAGCCATCACTCGGAGGACCCTGCACCAGGATGGGCAGCTCCGGGGGACAGCCTCGGCCGTGGCGGTCAGCCACTCCCTTCCAGCCCACTCGCGGGGCTGGACTCCCGGCCCCGCCGTCTCAGACTGTCAGACGTGGAGTGAAGGGCATCACTTCTCACCATGGCTCAGTTTCACTCTCTTCTAGATGGGGGTTTTGTAAGGGTTCAGACGGCACGAAGCACGGTTAAGTGTTAGAACAGCACCTGGCTCAGCCCCTGCCGGGGTCAGCACGTTCTGTGGGGTTGAAGTGACGGGATTAGCCAGGGTGGTCCCCACCCAGATCGGAGGGATGGCGGGAGCAGTGCCAGCTTGGATGGGGGCTAGCTGGGGGGCTGCCCATGACTTCAGCTCACATGTTCGTGTTCAGCTGACTGCATTCCAGTCCCCTGCCTCCTGTTGTTGCATAACTGACTGGAGTAAGAGCTAGAACGTAGTGCGGGCTGCCATAAGCAGAGCAAAGTAAGTGGCGTGGCTTTTTGTGGAATGCAGCGACACGGCTCCTGAGCATGACAGCCCGGGCCTTCCGCAGCCCCCCAAGCCTCGGGGGCTCTGGTTTACCGAGGGCTTCGACGGAGCATTTTCAGGACTAACAGCAGCCGCGTGTTGGAATGTGCCTGGAGGATCATGTCGTAGACGTTCTTTTTCATGCTTTTTAAAATGTGCAAGCCCTGACATCAAGAGGGACTTCTGGCAAACCCTTGAGAAAATGTTTCCCGCTTGTTGAGGGAAATGGAATTCGGACGGAGCAAGAGGGGCTCGTGATGTCAGCTCAGTGGGGCGCCTGCAGCAGCGCGGAGGTTTTGGTGTTGGGAAAGGCTGTTTGCTCTAACAGACCTTGTTCTTAAAAATTCTTTTCTCAGGCGTGGATCTGTTCAAGCACAGGTTTAAAGCAAATTCCTTGAGAAAGAGGTGGGCAGCTGTGAGGGAGGGTGTCAGCGGGAGCTACTCCACACCTTTTTAATGATTAAAGAAGGAACTTGCTGTTAGTATATTTTCTTCTTACTCCTTTTTTAAAATCTATTTTTAAGTGTTTTTCTTTCCCTGAAAAATAGAAAGGGCATCTCTCATTTTAAGCCATACAAGGAGACCATTTTCGAGGGAGGAAAAAATGGCCTTACTTAGGGTGGTTCTAGAAAAGACCCTCATGTCGCCTGCAGAGTGTCCCAGTTCCACAGAAGGGCCTCTGTGTGTCACCGCTGGTGCGGGTTCCGTACGAGCATTCTTTGCTGATGTTAGGTCATTGGTGTTGATTGTAAACTCTTTCACAAGTTTTCATCGCACCAGGCCCCGGGAGGCTGTTAGAACTGAAGCTGTAAGCTCCGGGAAGGTAAGGGCAGTGTCCTTACCTTATCCTGCTGGGCATGGTGGCTGGCGTGGCAGGCATGTTGTGGACATTTTGCTAAGGGTGGGGAGGCTTTGTTGGTCCACAGGCCTCTGGACTCTTCATAGGTTTAGAGGGAGGAGCGGGGCTGGAAATGGCACTGGAGGCCATTCTTCATTCTGTTCCACTGGGAGCAGACGGGGCCAGGGGGAGAAACAGGTGGGGACAAGGTTCAGGGCCCTTGTTTCAGAAGCGCCTGCAGCGGACTCTGAACAGGAGCTCCGGAGTCAGGCACACTTCGATTTTTAACTCCTGTCTCCTCACTTCATGGAGGGTTGGCCTCCAAGCCTCAGTATCCTGGTCGAGAAAATGGGAATCCAGGAATCCAGGCCTTGAAGGATTCAAGCGAGAATTCGCATCAGTGAACTGATGTGCACCGCCCTGGGACGCTGCGGGGCCGGCGGGGTTGGTGGTGTTGACGCCCTCCTCCTCAGCTGTTTATTGACCATAGCTGTCAGCTGCCAGCCCTTGGAGCCTGGCCGGGTTACTTTTTTCTATAAAATGACAGTCCTCTGAGACTTCCAGGTAGTCGTGTCAAGCCCTGCGTTACCCAGAGCTGGAGCCACACCCATGCGGTGACGATTTTTTTACTCTTCCGTGGGAAACCCTACAGTGCTTTAGGACAGGGTTGCCGTTGGGTGGCCACACAGCGTCATTGCGATTTGTGGGGTAGAGAGAAATCACTTGTAACCATGAAGACAGCAGGGGGATGGGGCACCGGAGGAGAGATGTGGACGAGAACGTTCCATGCTAAAGGAGGGGAAGTCGAGGCGGGAGCAGCCTCCAGGCCCAGTGTCGGGACCCCCCAGTGCTTGGTACATCTTGGCTGACTGAGCAGACAGAAGGAACTCTGAGAAGGGAAGCTGCTCTTCCAGTTAGATGCGGTGGGGGTGGGGTACACTTCGTGCTTACTTGAAAGCCGTGATTTCTGTACAGATGATTCTCTTGGAGAATCTTTTTTCTTAGAGAATTTCTTTTTTCTTTCTTTTAGTCTCAGGAAACTCGAGAGATCTTACATTTCCACTATACTACGTGGCCTGACTTTGGAGTCCCCGAATCGCCAGCTTCATTCCTGAACTTTCTTTTTAAAGTTCGTGAGTCGGGGTCACTGAGCACGGAGCACGGCCCTGTCGTGGTGCACTGCAGTGCGGGCATCGGCAGGTCGGGGACCTTCTGTCTGGCCGACACCTGCCTCTTGCTGGTAAGGAGGCCCCTGAAGGCCCCGGGAAGAGAAGGGAACCCATCTTAGGGGGCCCCCGCTGGTCCCTGTGGCCTGCCCCAAGCTTTTCTGTCATTGTCTCTGCAGTAAACTAGCCAGGATCTTTAATTTTTAACAATTGTCCTCCTATGACAGTAGCTCTAAGCTAAGTAGCTTTGTTGGGAGGGATGTTCTTAAGTGGAATGTGGAATTGGGAAGGTCCAGAGACTCCCTTTCTCTTATTCTTTCCCCCGTGCTCCTGTGGTCCTGATTTTGCTGCACTTTCACACATTTGCTAGAATTCTGCCTCCCCGCTGTGATTTTTCCTGAGCAGAAACCGGAGGACGCCTCCGGAACGTTGAAAATCACATTGTACTTGGGAGTTGGGGCTGACTGAATGGTGTCTCCTCTCTGGCTTTCAGATGGACAAGAGGAAAGACCCTTCTTCTGTCGACATCAAGAAAGTTCTGTTAGAAATGCGCAAGTTTCGGATGGGGCTGATCCAGACAGCAGACCAGCTCCGTTTCTCTTACCTAGCTGTGATCGAAGGTGCCAAATTCATCATGGGAGACGCTTCAGTGCAGGTAAGCCTCGCTTCTGCTCACATCCTCGTATGTCGATTTTGAATTTTTGTCTCTGAAGGAGGCTGTCAGTTGTAAAAGTTCAAATACTCTACCATGGCTCAGAAGAAATAGCTGTCTTCCTTGGCGAAATAGCTAGAAGGTTGTGAAAGTGCTCACTGCGATCCGATTTCTGCTGTGGACACACTGACGTAGAGAACATGGATAGGGAGAATAGACTTTATTTTCAAAAGATTTCATCTTCCACGTATACGTATCTGTAGCCCCAGGAAGCAGAGAGAGCCCCTCACCTCTGCTCACTCTAAAGGGGAGCAGATTTCCTGACAGATCAGCCCACCGTGAATGCTAACGGGGCTTTCTCTGCTGCTTTCCCTAGGAGCAATGGAAGGAGCTTTCCCATGAGGACCTGGAGCCCCCACCCGAACACGTCCCCCCTCCTCCCCGGCCCCCCAAACGCATCCTGGAGCCACACAATGGGAAGTGCAAGGAATTCTTCCCCAACCACCAGTGGGTAAAGGACGAAACCGGGGAGGATAGAGAAGACTGCTCTATCAAGGAAGAAACCAGAAGCCCTCTAAACGTCCCTTGTGGTGTGGAAAGGTAAGCCCGAATGGGCCTGGCTTATTGGGGGTGAGGGGGACTGACCTTCTGATCCAGAAACACATTGATATTGAAACCCTGAGGACCCAGCCTCCTCTTGGCAAGCATCGCCTCTGTGTCTTTGGGGAATGGGACCCCTGGACCAGCACCACTCCTCCCCTCGCTGTAGGAGCCAGGAGCATTTGACGCTGCCGCAGGTTGGCCGCTGTCCCCCATGCCCTCGGGTACCTACTTCGGTGGGGCTCTAGCACCACCTTGTGGTGCCTGTTGGAATCCTGCATCTGGGTAAGCAGTTCCACCCAGAGATGACCTAGCCCTGCCCTTGGCTTCTAGCCAGTCCTGAAACGTACTATCCAGGTTAGACCATGTACTTTCGGCCCCCAGATTGGTCCTTCTGGGAATTTAACCTTTTGTGTAGTTTTGATTAACGTAATGCCATTTAGCAAAGGTTATTGAACACATACTGATGCATGTGAAATACTGAGATCACTGGAACATGGCCCCTGGTCTGTATTCTAAACCATCTTGTTGGGGCGGGGACAGTGGATTATGGATGGGACCCTGTGGACAATAAGGAGATGGAAGTGTATGCTGTGGTGGTCAGCCATCAAGAAGATACCCTGCCTTCCCAGGGTGCTCAAGGAGGGCCTACATGAGGCATGGAAGCATGGAGAAGGAATGGGTGTGAGCCTGAGCCTCAGCCTATGGAGACAGTGCCCTTGTTCCTGCTTCCTGGATGAGTGCATGCTTTGGCCCAGCATTTGTACACATCTAGAAATTTGGTTTGCAACACTGCAAACAGGTGTCCAAAGAGATCTGTAGGGGGAGGTGTTCATTACGGCATCATTGAGAACAGTGACAAGAGACAAGCTGATTGTATATGTAGGGATTAGGTAACTCGTGCTTTCTCCTTACTTTGGGATACTTTGGAGCTGTTAAAGGACACAGTCAGAAATGCACTAATGCAGCTAGACGTTAGAATAACAATACTGAAGTGAGCAGCTTAGACATGGCGTGTCCCTGAGTGGTCCTCTAGCTAAACTCATCATCAGAATATTACCTGGGCGCCTTGCCAAATGCTGAGTGCCAGGCCCCAGTGCTGACGCGTGCACCTAAGTCAGCAGGGTCCTTCATGTGACTGGGTCCCTATCACAGCCCCATTACCTCTGGGACTTGTCCAGTGGGGCCTCCCAGAACAGGTGCTGTGCAATGTGCTCGGCAGTAGCTCCGTGACAGTCTGCCCAGGAGACCGTGCCTGGCTTCCCAGGGCCTCTGGTGACATTCTCAGGGCGTGCCAGTGTGCTTCATCTGAGGGCCTGCCAAGAGTTGAGAGTGAGTGAGGTGAGAGCTGGCACGTGACTGGTGTCCAGTCTGTCATGTGTTCTGTTCTGTATTCGCTGAGACTGGAGGGGAGAGGGGGTGCTTTTCAGTGTGTGTGTGTGTGTGTGTGTGTGTGTGAAGGTGGCAAGGAGGGGAGTGTGGATCTGGGAAGCCAAAAGCCGGAGAGTTCCAGGAAAAAATGGGGTTATGCCAAGAACATCGGTGCCTCTGGACACCAGTGGGGACCCACGTGCACACAGGCCTCAGCCCTGCAGCTGGGGCCCCACCATGGGGAGCAGAAAAGCAGGTGCTTTGTGCCACCTCCGGGGGAGGTAATGCCTCAGGGGTCCTGCCCACTACACACGATGCTGCTGGGGTAGAAAAGCTGTGGAGATGCATGTGAGAAGCAGGACATCTTGTGGTCAGGTCTTCTGTCGGGTGGCAAGGGCAGGGGGAGAAGGAAAGGCCTGGGGGAGGTGGCAAAGAGAGGAAGGGCCTCTGTTGGCCTCTCCTGAGATAGGCCTGGAAGAACACCGTTCACATCGTCCCCGCACGGGGGCGCTCTGGCTTGCCACCAGGAGGGCAGCCGGTCTGTACACAGGAGGCCTGAGAAACGGTCCTACTGGCGGGGTCTGAGCGATGCTGGGGCCTCAAGCTGGGGACAGGGCAGGCTGAGGGGCAGAGGGAATACGTGATGTCCTCACATCAACAGCAGCAAAGACTCCTATGCAGGGGCCCGGGGAGAGAGAGAGAGCATGTGGGCCGCACCATTGCCCTCCCTGAACTGAAGGGGAACATTCTCCAAGCAAACCCAGGGGAAATTACCACCTAGCTTTGCACCAGCGCCTGTATTTCTCAGCAGAGTCTCACCCACCCTCCATCACCAAGGAGTCCACGGGGCTCCAGAACCATACCCTGGCTGTGGCGGCCGTCTGGGTCTCTGGGGCGGGGTGGGGGGGGTGTGTGCGACAGGAGGGCTTCGGGTTAGTATCCGTGTTCCCAAGGTCTTGGCAGTTCCCAATAGCATCCCCGCTGTTGTTTTCCCCAGAGTGAGTAACCCGTCTCTGTGCATCTCCTTCCTCAGCACGAGTCCAGACACTGAAGTCAGAAGGCGGGCCGTGGGGGCAGGTCCTGCCCAGGGGGAGCCCTCGCCACCCAAGGAGAAGCAGGACCCGGCGCTGACTCCCTGGAAGCCCTTCCTGGTCAACATGTGCATGGCCACAGTCCTCACGGCCGGCGCGTACCTCTGCTACAGGGTATGTTTTCACTGACGGACGTGCTGGCAAGACCGTGGGTACAGAAAGCACTGGCCGACAGCCCAGCGTTAGCATTCAGTGCTGTGGAAGGATCTGAGCCAGTCTCAGAAGAAACAGAGCAAAGGTTTTTAAAGGCTGGAACTGTGAAGGGCTAGCAAGAGAGAATTGAGGATTGATGCACTGGGGTTTTAAGGAGCCCTGTGATCCCAAGAATATATAAGAGTCTAATCTCAGGGCCTTAACCTATTCAGGAGTAAGTAGAGAAAATGCCAAATATGTGTCTCTCTCTCTCTCTCTCTTTTTTTTTTGTTACTGTTGTTTGTTTTTGAAAAAAAAAATAATAGAATTACAACACATTGTTGTTTTTAACCTTTATAAAAAGCAGCTTTTGTTATTTCTGGAAAAAAAAAAGAGACTAGGCACTTACGAAACTTCCTTGTACCCTTAGGTGGTGTCAGCAGATACACAGTTTATATTGGATTTCCCAGGGAAAGATTTCCCGTGCTTTTACGAATGTAAACTCCTTTGGAGAAGAGGGTTTAAGGGTTCAGGGCGCCGTCTTGCTCAGTCGCTTCCTCTGCTGTGCGCACGCTGAGCTGGGACAGCGCCTCTGAGCTTTCCCATTTTTAGAAGAGAAACAACAGAAGGCCATCTCTAGAAAACAAAGCCCGGCTTCTGCTTTTGCTCAGGGTGTCCCCACCGGTTTCCCATTGCTCATTTCTCCATCCGTCCCTTCTCGCTCCGGCCATCTGGGTCAGGCCCCGCCCTCCTCACCCCACCTCCACAAACGGGGTTCCCTCAGGCCCCTGCCTCAGGGTCTGAGGTCACAGCAGGGTGGCCACCAGCTTCTCACCCTGCATTTGAGGTCCCGAAGGAACAGTTTCCACTTCCTTCGGAATAGAAATGCTGTTGCAGTAGAAATCCACACACGAGATGCGTGTCGCTTTTAATGTGCGGGGAAGACGGAGGTTTAGCCTCAGAACTCTGGTCATGGAAATCACTTCACAGGACTTTTTAAAAATCATTTTTAAAATATTTTGTCTTTTTTGCAAGCGACCATCTTTGAGTACATCGGATGGTTTAGCAATGTGTAAACAATGTTTTCCCTGGGGGTGATTTTTGGGGAGGCGGGCTGTCCTAAAAGAGAAACGAACCCCCTTCGCTGGAGGCTGGGGAGGCCGGGGTAGTGCGTGAGTCTGCCGCTCTGCGGGGGTGGGTCCGGGCTCATCTGAAAATGTTTGGTTTCATTCCAGTTCCTGTTCAGCAGCAGCACATAATCTGACCCACCTCCACTCCACCTCCACCCCACTGTCCGCCTCCGCTGCTAGAGCCCGTGCGCGCCTGGCAGGCAGGCCGTGGTCGGTAAGGGCCGAGGACAGCGTAGCCAGCCGGGACCTGGACGGACGTTTGTTCTGCACTAAAACCACCCTCCCCGGGCTGTTGGTTCTCACTCCCTTTGACTCTGTTTCCCTTCCCTTTCCTTCGAGTATCCAATCCACTACCCATTTTTTGAGGAGAGCAAAGGAGAGTCCAGTGCTGGTGGCCTGTGCAAGTCGCGAGGCCCACCCTGCCGCGTGCTCCCCCTTGGTGTGGCCCAGTGCAGCCCGGGGAGGCAGCACCCAGTGTCCTCCTCCCTCGACCTCCACGGACAGCATGCGCAGTGAGCCTCTCCACTCCATATTTATTTTTTTGTTTTTGTCTTTTTTTCCCAAAGGCATCCATAGTGCACTAGCATTTTCTTAAACCCATAATGTATTAAAAATTTTTGATGTCAGCCTTGCATCAAGGGCTTTATCAAAAAGTACAATAATAAACCCTCAGGTAGTGCTGGGAACATAAGACTTTGCCATGAGCCCGCTGCATGAGACCAGTACTAGGAAGGTGGACGGTTGTAAGCAGTCGTTATTTCGTGACATTGTGGGTAACGCGAGAAGAGGTTTGGCATATGTTTATAGAACATGGGATAATATATACTGAACACTTGGATATTTAAGATACATGACATGAGATGACTTTGTCCCAGTTATCCCCTCCCGGTTATCTGCTAGAACCTTGTTCTCGATCACTGCTTTCCCTGTGTGTATTAGAATGCATGTTCGATCGTCTCGTGCCCCGATCAGATACCATGTGCTTGAAACACTTAGCTCTCTGCTTATTAATGTGCCCCCATGTACAAGTCCAATCTACCTTTGCATGATCTGATCATTACATGGCTGTGGTTCCTAAGACTTGCTGAAATCCGCCATTCAGCAGTGGAGTGATGTTTTCCAGTAACAGATATTTGCCGAATTCCTGGCATGACACTCTGGTGACTTCCTGGTGAGGCCCGGCCTGGCCTTGTCCAGCCGGGGCCCACTGTAACTCAGACATTCCAAGGGTATGGGAAGCCGTAGTCACACCTCACGCTCTGGACATATAGGCAAGCAGGGTCCCCCCTAACACCCTGGGGATCAGCCTCCATGGTCAGAAGTTCACACTCCTTTCGAGCAGACTGTGATTTGGAACCAAGGCAACTGTTGGAAACCACACGCCTGAAGCAATCTGGGTGACAGTCCCTCGGAGTCCGCCTGCCACCGTCCCGTTCTGGGGGCCTTGCTGAGAGCCACGTCTGCCCCTGCCCTTGAACCCTGGGGACTGATGGTGCTCATGACTCTTCCTGCAAGGGAGCTTAAGACCTCCACATTAAGTGGCTTTTTTAACAAGAAAAACAAAACAAAAAACAAGGCAGCTGTAGCTCACAAGCTGCTCTTTTGCCAGCATTTTCACATTTTGCCTTTCCCCACGTTAGAAGCCCGTGCAGAGAAACTTTGCGGCGGGAACATTCGAGGCATCGCTCCGCAGAGCCTTGGTGAGGTGTGGGTGAGGCTGAGGTGCCAGGCTGGAGGCGTTTTTGAGTTGGGCTTGTTTGTTTTTTGAGGTCCTATATATGTATGTAGTAGTTTGGGTGTGTATATACAGTAGCATTTCAAAATGGATATACTGGTTTAACCTCCTATCCTTGGAAAACAGATGGCTCTCCATCTTGTTACACGTATGTTAGAGAAGTAGCGAGCTGCTCTGCTATATGCCTTAAGCCAATATTTACTCATCTGGTCATTATTTTTTACAATGGCCATGGAATAAACCGTTTTTACAAAAATAAAAACACACAAAAAAAGCGAGGTGTTTCGGTATAATACCTTTTCAGGTGTGTGTATACATGGCTGCATGATGGGGGGTGGGGGGCGCGCGTCTCAGGGTCTTCTGTGACCTCACAGAACTGTCAAACTGTACAGATTTCCAACTTGCCATATAAATGATGGGTTTGCATTTTAGTTGCAACAATAAAAATTTTTTTCTAAAGAACATGGATTTGGGGTGCCTCCCATGCCTTTGTTTCATGGGCCTAAAGGAGGACGGGTACCTCCTGTTTCTTGCCGCCGCCGCCAGAAAGCAGGTGCTGTCGCTCAGGTGGCCGAGGGTTACTGTGGCCTCCTGGGGTTGTGCTCACCTTTGAGCTGGGGAACCATTCCCTTCCCGGTGAGTTTATGTGACACTTCCGGCGTCAACCCAGCTTCTTGGACGACGACAGAACCTACCTTCTGAATGCCCAGGGCCTTGGGCTACCTTAGCAAACCACCCAGACTGCTTGGAGGGCTGCTCAGAACGCGTCCTCCTCAGTATCTCTGTCGAGCCGTGCTTGATGGAGAAGTGACGAGATAGAAAATTCACCTAGTCCTTCCCTGTATGCCGTTACATCTTCTCTAAAGTGATTGGTTGACATCTTGTTCTGAAATAATTTCAGATTTATAGAGTGTTGCAAAAACAGTACCAAGAGTTCCCTATGCCCTTCAGGTGGTGTGATTGGCCGCTTGGGCCTCCTGGCAGGATTCGCAGAACTGGGGAGTAAACGCAGACTGTGGTCATGTAACCTTAGAACGCCCGCAGAGGACTGTGGCCAGGGGAAGGTGGTGTCACACCCATTGTCACTTCAGTCTTTGTTTCAGATACAAAAATGGCATCTAAGCTTTCAGGAAGTGGTGGAATGCCAGTGTGGGGGGAAGAAAAATGGCTGAATTCGTAACCGGCACAGAAATCAGATGAGGCCAAGGGCTAGACAAGGAGGGGCCGTGCTGCTTGGTGTCTGTGTAGGAGCAGGCCCTCGGGGAGGCTTTGCGAACACGGGGAGTACCGAAGGCACAGAGAGCGCCTTCGGGAAGGGGTTGGGGGGCCACTTTGTCCCTCCCCGGGAGGTTTGGGGAAACAGCCACCGCTCTCTGCTTTTTCCAGGTAAAGGGAAGCACCCATACAAATCATTTTAATCAAAATTTCAGAAAATCGAACCTAAGGGCAAGGCAAATAAATACTAAATTCAACCGAAAAGCACAGAACATATACAGGAAGTTTACGTGAGAAGCCTTCAGTCAGAGTCCCCAGTGCCACTGTCAGGAGTCGCATTCATCCCCCAGGCTGTCTCTACGGCTCAGCACAAAAACAGCTCAGGGCATCTTTGAGGTTTTTTAATAGATTTAAATAGGAAACTAATTTTCTATAAACATGTTCTTCGGTGAAATCTTTTTTCAAACCAGTTTATGGCTTCCAAAACGGTTTATTAACTGTCTAACCCTATTAAAGGCCTCACGTTGACTTGCTTCAAGAGTTCTGTTCCCTGATGATGGGAGAGGTCAAGGTGGAAGCTCTTCCTGACACGACGCTCAGGGTTTCTCAGCCGGTGGCATTTTTTTCTTTGTGCTGTTGAACACGGGAGAATAAGGTCCATGGTCAGCAGGCTCCACGGCGAAACATTTGGGCTGCAGCTCGGGTTAAGAGCGTGAATTGTGAAACCCCAGCTCCCTCTTCCCACTGTCCCCAGCTCGCAGAGGGGACAGCCCGCTGCTGCTGATGTGACCCGCCGTGTCCTCCTCAGCAAGAGCAGTCCGCCCGCTTGCCAGTTCATTCCCAGTCCTTACTGAACCAGAACCTGCAGGGAGAACCCCAAGTGCCGTGCATTCCTCTTGGAACCTTTCGCTCCAGGCCTCATCCTGCCTGGCCTTGGCCCTTTTGCCATGCAGCTCACTGGGGAAGGTCAGACACATTGTCAGGACCAAAAAGCTGGTCATGTGGTTAGTCATACAACCTTCAAAGTGCTGGCCAGCCTCTTCTGCTCCAGTACGGAAGGCCTCATTTGTGCCCCTAGAAGTCGTGACTGGCCTGGAGACAGAGGGAGGAGCGCAGGCCAGCTCACACTTAGTGGGGAGCATGCAGCGCACCCCCCACCCCAAACTCAGTTCCTGTGTCAAGGCTGGGTGGGAACGAAGACAAAGATGCCAACGTTGGCGTTCATCAGCCAAGGCTTAAAATATTGTGATTTCAACATCCGCCTCCTGGCAGAAGGCCTCTTCTCTTTGTTCCAAGTAGAGTTTATCCATCCTCTCAAAAGCCAAGCGTCCTTTCTCACCTGAAATAGTAAGGTGACCTGTCACTGGATTGTCCCCCACCTTGGTGTTCCCGCTCTGGTGAGCCAAGATGGCCTTAGTGCTGACGCCTGGGTCTTGGGTGCCCCTGTAAGGGGTAGAGGCAGGGAGCGTTGGAGGAGCTCCTGCCGGCCACTCTCATGGACCCAGTGCCTCGCCCCTACATTCACGACAATTTGCTGAACCGTGTTCCTGCCTCGCATCTGGTGTTCATTCCCCAGAATCACAAACTGAAGTTTAAGAGGGAAATAAAAGCACTTCTTGCCACCTCAACCATGAAGGAAACCTATCTTGGCCAAATGCAGTTAAATGGGTCACTAACAGTGCCCAGCCCATGTGCTATCCTGCATCCTGGAGGGCTGGCCGCGGCCTCTCTGACACCACCTCCCGGAAGTCCTCGGGTGCCCCACTGCACCACACTTTACCGAATGACAGTGTGGCCTCCCGGGCTGCTGTTCTCACGGCCTCCACGTCAGACTGGCACAAGCTGGCAATCTGATCGATGCTTTCGATGCCCTGTTGGAGGTGGGGAGGGGGAAGAGGATCCCTTAGGGGACATTTTAAGTAGCAAGTGCAATCTACTTTTGTAAGTTCGGCAAGACCCCAGCCCTGGCACGGACCAAGAGGCCTCAACCCCCCTCCTTTTCTGAAGGCTTACAGGTTTCTTGTGTGGTCTCAAGTTCATCAGGAGTGCATTTGGAAGTGCCTCACCTTTCCCATCCTGACACCTGCCCATGAGCCAGGCCATTGGCAGAGCTTTATGGATACCTTCTAGAAGGCCTTTTTTGAAAAGGAGAAGACCTGCTTCCCTCAAGACCTTCCTGTCTCCTCCTCTCCTAACTGTCCCCTCCTGGTCAGACTGAGAGCATCAGGTCTGGGCACAGCCCACCCTGGCTGCTCACCTCCGGGGCCAAGGACCAGAGCACACTTTGCCTTCCTCTACAGAGCACCCACCCCTACCCCCTTACTGGTTGATTGATTATAACCATATGGTCCTCTTAGAATTTCTCTGGTTCTTTCCAGAGTGAATGGGGTGAGTAAGTTTAATCTGTTTCTCCTCCAGCAGATTGGCAATGGTTTTTCTAAAATGAGAGTTCCAGATGCAGGTGAGGTGGAGGCGAGATGGGCATCCTTTCACATCTCCTCTGGGAGCGTAAGTGGCTGAGCTGTATCTAGAGGCTCCAGACGTTTCCTATTCTCTGGCCTGGAGTCACACTCCACACTCAAGAAGAGTTCAGCCTAAAGAGATCATTCAGAACTCCATATATATTTTTTTAAGCTCATAATGATACTATTTATAATAAAAATGGAAGGTGAACCTCAGTTTGGTATCACACAAGAGTGGGGGAGTCCATTTAACTTAAGATGGCCCGTTCATAGAGACTTCGAGAGTGCTGCCCGCCTGCCGCTAAGAGTTCCTGTTAAACTCACTGCTTTTAAATTACATTTAGCATGATCAACAATCTTAAAGGCTCGCACACACCCACAAACAGAAGAAACACAGCAAAATGCCAATAGTACTTTCCACTAAGTGTTAGGATGATGACTAAACTCTGTGTTTCTGTGTTTCACTCTTTTTTTTTTCCCTACAATGAGCTAATGGTGCTTTTAGAAATTTTTTATTGAGAATATTACAACATAGAATCCAGGGCCTCCAAAGCGAGTCTCTGGGGCCACTTACTTATTCGAGCACAGCCAGAGCCCAACGCTCCTTGACGGCTGCTGTGGGGCCTCTGCAGGCAGACCGGACATCTGCTTCTCTAAAACAATCTCTTCGGGGGCAGTTTTTTGGTTTTGGGGGAGCTTGGGGGGGTTGTTTTTTGGTTTTTGGGTGTTTTGATTGTTTGTTTTGCTGGCGGTAAGTTTTTTTTTTGGTGGAGGGGCTCCCCGGTGAAATACCTTTGACACGAACTGACTTCAGGCTTCTCCCTGCCCTCATGGGGGCAGGTTAGACTCACCCTGAGGTGTTTGAGCGCCACACACGCGGCCTGCTGGAGTTTGGCATCGTTCTCTGTCAGAGCGTTGGTGTAGAAGAGCAAAGCCTGCGGAATGAAGTCGCTGTGAGTAGGGGGCTTCCAGGCCTCCCAGTGCTGGCAGTAAGTCGCGCCCTGCTTACCTTTCTCTAAACAAGAATCGGGCCCTGATCTAGTCATCTTTGCACTATGGCCACCCGGTCTCGGGGCGTCTGCTGCAGCATTTGGTTTATCTCTAAAGACACTGGTCCCTGGGCTCATGGTAATCAAAATGAAGAACGTTCTTTTTGTCTAATAGTATTTCCCAAATCGAGATAAAATGTGACATCAGAGAAATCAGATGTCCAGCCAGGGCCAACCGAAGACTTGGGCATGCAGAGGGAGGTGGCCTTGGGGGCCGAAAGCTGAGCTGCTGCCTGAGGCCCGAGGACAAAACAGGTTTTTCAGCCCCCTTTCCCGGTCACAGCGATGGCCCTATCCCCTCGGGCACCTCAGCCAGAGGAGAGCTGCCACCGGCTTCCCGAAATGGCACAGGTTCATTAGGAAGCATGCGAGAAGGCGCCTGGCTAAGGGGTGGCCCAGGAGACCGTAGGAAGGCCTCGGTCTTGCCCCTTTAATTCTACATGCAAGCGACAGATCACAGGGATAGAATATGTTGTGTCAGAGTGTGGTGTGAGGTTCTGTAGGATCCTCTGGTGGTGGCCTGGCAGCCCCAGCCCAGTCCAGCCTGGATCCCCCCGCCAGACTGGTGTCTCTGGGGGCCACAGTGGGAGAAGCGCTATGCTCACGCCATTGGAGTATCCCTAAAGCAGAATGTCCTGGGGCAGCTGGCTGGCTCTGTGGGTAGAGTGTGCAGCCCTTGATCGCAGGGTTGTAAATGAGAGCGGGTGTGGAGATTACTTAAAAAAACAAAATCTTTTAAAAACCAAAACATCCTGCAACGAATGCAGCCCCCTTCAAATCTCATCCTTTGTATCTTTCTGAGAGAGAAAACCGACCTCCCCGCAACTCACACACACGTAGCCAGGAGGCTGCTGCCTCCCAACCTCACACCATACCTTTTCCCGAAAGCTCTTGTTCCTGGCTGCGCCAGCCAGGCGGGCACTGGCTGCCCTGCACACTCGTGGGGGCCCGTCCAGCTGGAGCAGCGCCCAGGCCCTCAGTGTCTGGGGCAAGGGCTGGAGCTGGCCCAGCCGCTTCCCCTGCAGCTTCCTGACCGCCTTGCCCTGCCTTGCACACTGCAGCTCCTCGACGAGTGTCACTGGAAGACAGAAGTGGGCCAGAGTCCCTCTGATTGCCGTCGGCGATGTGGCTGCAGGTCTCTTTGGCCGCTGCCTGTAGCCATGGGGAAACAGATCCCAGGGCAGGCCCGTGTGATCACCATGGCTCAGTCTGGATTGGTTTCAAAGGGCCTCCTGGAATCTAGGAAGGCTTTCTAGCAAGGGCTCAGATAGCCCCTGAAAATGATAAAACCTCAGCCTGTGCTTCAGAGATACTGGCCAGCTGCACGTTGCCCTTGTATCCAGCTCGGCCCTCGGCTCTGTGCTTTGTAAAACCTTCCTTTGGAGCTCGTTCATTCCAGAATGTGCCATCTCGTCCAATCTGGGTTCTCCAGAGAGCCAGGACCCAGGACAGAAGGAGGGCATTCCTCCCTTCTCACCGTGCTGCTTGGAGGCCAGCGGCCTCCAGCCCCTACCTTCCTTGGTGAGCCGGCCGAAATGCTTCTCCAAGTCAGAGACGCTGTGCCGCTGCAGGTAGCTGTGGAACTGGAACCAGGTGACCGTCTCTTCGTCGGGAGGCCCGGCTCCGGGGAGCAGCCCCCCACAGCTGACCACCTGCTCCAGGAGCCTCCTGCACACTGGCGGCACAAGAAGAGGCCGTGAGGGGAGACCAGGCGCCTTGGAGCTTCTCCGCCAGGTGCGGCTGGGTCCGTTTAAAGGGTTTTCTAATGGCCTGTGGGCGATGCCCCTCCCGGCCTCCCCTGCCTGACAGAAGGAGCGTGCTGTGGCTGGGCTCTGCAGACCCCGAGATAGGCGACTGGGGGTGCGTCCCCTGCCCTGGGCTGGGCTGAGCTGGGCCGGGCCCAGCCAGCGCCTGGGAACACTCAGGCCGAGGGGCAGCCCCGCGCTAGTGAGAGCGGCCCTATTCCCGAGCCACTGGAAGGGACATGCTCTGCGTTCTGAGAAGAGTCCAGCCAACAGCGGAGGACACTGTTTTCCTGCCTCCCTTCCCATAAGCGTTTCTTAACCCCTTTAAGGTTCTGGTGGAAGCTACACAGTCCATCTGCAGAGACAGGGACCAGGGGCTAACGCCGACAGCCTCGGTTCCGCAGGCTCCTTCCTACTCCCAGGGAGAGGAGGCGACTCGTGGGCCCGCTGAGAAATGTCCTCCCTCTGGTGCCACGAAGACACGGGGATGCAGGCAGGGCTGGAACCAAGCCCCGGGGACTCAGCATAGCGTTGCTTGTGGGAAGCGGGGGTACCTATTTCCAGCTGTCCCGGGTACTTCCCTCGGACTCTGTGCAGGAACGTTTTCTTGAGCTGGTTCAGCAGCACGGTGGCGGCGCAGGACAGGACCCTGCCGGGCTCTGTGCACCCTTTCCACAGCTTCAGGCACCCCTTCCTCCGCGCGGCCTGGGGAATGACTGAAAGCCCGGGTCAGGGCCCCATGGATGCTGGGGAAGGGCCGGCAACGAGGCAGCCCAAAGATTTCCTCCCGCTCGGAGGCCTGAGAGGTCAGGGAGCTGAGGGGTGACCGGACCCCATGCAGCTTCCCTTCCCCCGTCCCACATGACCCACGAGGATAGACCGCTTCAGCTGTGAGCGCCTTCCCCAGGCCTCTCCCCGACGGTCTCCGCAGCAACTGGGACAGCTACGGCCTCCAGCCTCTCCTCGTGGACACACGGAGTTTCCGTGGGGGGCAGGCAGGTTGGGGGTCACTGATACGGTTTGTGTTTTAGCGCACGCTCTGTGCCTTGGAGGTGTCCTGGGGATTAGGTCACTGAACGCTCTCCAGGGGCCTCCCCTTTATACAGACGGGGAAGCCGAGGCCCAGAGAGGTGAATCCTTTGCCCAGAGTCACACAGCTGACGCAAGAGTGCCGCCGACTTCAGGGCGGCCCACAGTCCACAGTCTGTCAGCGCTCAGCCCGGCCGCCGCCACCCCCGCGCAGCCCCCCGCCGGACTCCAGTTAATTTTGAACGTCAATCAGGAAGCAAGGCGAGGCCCCCCTGGGCTTCGTAGCCCCTCGCTTCCTGCCATTCACAAGAGCGGCCCGTGGGTGGCAGGCAGTTACTTACTTTCTTCGATGGATGTTGCCTGGCTGACCTTCTCAAAATCGAGCACAGAAAGCATCTCCAGAACCTGCTTTTGCTGCGCAGCTTCTTCCAGAAGGCTCTCCTGGACCACCCTCGACAAGTTAGAAGAGGCCAGTTTCTGGAAAGCAGCCCACAATGCTCCTTGTTAGCCCAGAACATGCCCCCTGAGGTCCGAGATCACGACTGCAGCTCCCACCTCCCCGCTGCCCGTCTTTTCTATCCTGACAGTAGCTCTCCGACTGTCATCCGGGGATTTCTGAGGCACCAAGGCGGCAGAGATGGTGGGATGCAGGCTGCGACTGCCAGGGGCCACCTTTGCCCCCAGAAAGGGCCGCCCTGGCAGAGGAAGCCAGCCAGTGCAGGCAAGCAGAGCTGAGAGAGACCCATTTGAGACAATATTTGAAAGCCTGGATCCAGCTGATCGAAGCCTACTCCAGGGACTTTCAATTCTGTGACCCAGAAAGTTCTTTCTGGTTGAGCCAGCTTGGATGGGGGGCCTGGTGTCTGCAGCTGAAGGAGCCACAGCCTCTGCTTTTGGTCCAGCACTTGGGATGCATAAGGGCCACGTGACTGTTCTCCCAGGCCTGAACCTTCCACAGAGGAATCAGAGTCTCCCTGGCTCTCAGGGTGGGGCTGTCTTCCCTGCACGTGCTCCCCACCACTGTCAAGATCAATTCTGTGCAAAGAGGCATCCCCATCCCTTAGTCACCTGCAGCAGAGCTTTGCAGACTTGGAGGTGGATCGTGAGCAGCCTGTCCAGCTCCAGGGTGCCGGCCGTGAGCCCCCTAGATGACGCTTTCCTTGGGGGCAGCGGGATCCTGTCCTTTCTGTGTTGGATCGAGAAGAACTGGGTGACCATTCCAGTTAGCAGCCCAGCTCCCTCCGAGGAGAGAAGACACCCTCCCTTCCTGGAGAGCTCTGATCAGGGAGGCTCACTCCAGGCCCCAGGGAGAAAGAGTTCTACCCAGGAGAAATCCAAGAGAAAAGCCGCAAAAGCCAGCAGCAACTCAGAACAGGTGCTGGCTTGGTGAGGGTCCTGGAGACAGGGGGAGTCGGGGACACTTTCCAGGGTGGGCGACCTGAAGTCAGAAGTTCAAACTAATCCTTAGCTCGGGACTTGGTCACAAACTAATCCTTAGTGACTCAGGACTGGTCTGCTCTCCTGGCCTCAGTGTACTCATCTGTAAAGTGGGGATAGGAATACCAAGCTCAGGGCAATGAGGGGAGAGGGCAACCCTGCCAGCCAGCTGGCCTGGCACCATGTTGACTTCATGGTAGGAGCCGAGCCCAAAGCCCAAGGACATGGTGACCCTGGCATGTCGGGTGGGAGTGCCAGCCCCTCCCCATGGGGTCGTGAGAGGAGGAGACAAAGTTTACTGTGTATCCTCTTTGCTGCCGCTGAGATTTGGTCCAGGAGCCAGGTGTGAGCGGGGCAAACGGGGCTGCTGAGCTGAGGAGGTGGATGTCAGAGGTAAGGGCGAATTGTGCAGAAGAACGGGGAGCGTGGGTCACTGCTCACTGCTGCCCGTATGTGAGGCAGAGCACAGAGGTTCTATCGTGTGCTTTACCGTCATTTTTTAAAACAGCCCATTGCTCAGAGCTGAAGACCATGCTGGGGGACTGTCATTCACTCAGTGGTCAGTACCGGCCCGCTCCGCGCCAGACGGTGGGCACGCAGGGGCGGGGAGCATGACAGACAAACGAGGTAAGTGCAGATCGGGCCCAGGGCCATAGATGGCATCGGCTGGAAGCCCACAGGAGGCCTGGAATGGAGGCTGCTTCCCTGGGTCTGTGCTGGGAGGGGAGTGCACTTACCGGGGACCCGGGCAGCCCCCAAATAGGGACAGCTCCTGCGGGGCGAGGTCAGCGTTGAGGAAGGCAAAGCTCTCCAGGATGCACTCCATCAGGCTCTCGGCGGAGGGGTGCTCCTGGGGAGCTCCGCGGGGCTGTGGACGGAGCGGCGAGCCCTCAGCTCGGACCCTTAGGACGGGGGTGCGAGCCTCAACTGCCCCAGTGAAACCCCCCAGTGAAGGACGGGCAGGTAGCCTGTGACAAGGGATAGCGCAGGAGCACAAAGGACACAGGTCTGAAAAGCTTCACCTGGCTCACAGCCCACAGGGCAGGGCCAGGGCTGTCAGATTGTTCAATTCTCAAAAAAAAAAAAAAGAAAAAAAGCTGGAAATCTAGATTTTTGTGGGAAGCTGCCAATTTTTAAATATTGGCCACCAATTCCAAATTATTATTATTATTTTTTTATTTAGTTGACAGAGATCACAAGTAGGCAGAGAGAGAGGAAGGGAAGCAGGCTCCCCGCTGAGCAGAGAGCCCAATGCGGGGCTCGATCCCAGGACCCTGGGATCATGACTTGAGCCAAAAGCAGAGGCTTTAACCCACTGACCACCCAGGCGCCCCCCAAATAATTTTAAAAAGATGGCGTGGGTCAGGCCCAGCACCTCCTCAGGAGGCTCATAGGCTGCGAGGTGAGCCTCTAGATCTCAAGTGTCTCTTCTCCCCGGGAGATGCAGAAGGAGAGGACCTTCGAGGCACCCCCTGGCTGGCAGAGTGATGGTGCCACGGCTCCTGGCACCAGTCAAGTCTCCCCAAGGCAGGTCCCCTCCTCAGCATCTAGAAATCCCCTGTGGGAGATGTCGGCCTCCTCTCGATTCACAGTGGGACACTGGGGCTCGCTGTGTCCCCATCCCCAGCATGCCCAGGCCTTGTCCCACACAGAGTGTCCCCGGATTCCGCCTCGAGGGCCAGAACGAGGCTTCCCAAAGGTGGAGGCCACAGAGAAAACCTTGAGTAACGAGAGAATGACAAGGCTAAGTCCAGAGATTCCCTCGCCTGATAGAAAAAAAAAATGTGTGTGTATGTGTGTATGCGTGTACACATACACACACATACATACACACACACAGTCACTCCTCAGAATGCGCGGTGTATCTAGCATCACTCCTAGGAGAAATGCAGGGACCCTGAGCCTCTGGTCACAACATTTTCATCAACCCTTACAGCACAGAACCTCGTTTTATGTGTGTTTCTGGGGAAAACACCGTATTGAATTTACACCAACGGTTCACTAACACGGAGCTCCCCCGCCCCCAGCACCATAACTCATGCCAGAACGAGGCTGTGCTCGCGCATGCAGCTTCCCAGGCCCGTCACGGCCTCCCGGCACTCGGGAGCACGAGGCCGCTCTCCAGCACGGCGGCTGGGCCATTCTAAGTCTGGAAGTCCCCCCCAGAATAATTTTTGAGGAGAGCCGTGAAACTATTTCAATACTAGTATGTGTTGAAACCACAGACGGTGGTTGCAGAAATTAACTGATGTTAAAGTTGGTGCTGGCGTTATGCTTTATTGTCAGCACATTTAAAATTGTGTCATTGGAAAAAATGACCTGCCCAGGCCAGCGCCCCCAAGAGCCACCTGAGGATGACCCCCGCTGCCATGGGCCCTGCCGAGAACTAGGCTCAGGGGAGGGGGTGCGGGTGTGTGGGGCCTTTTGTGACACTAGCTCTGGCCCCAAACACACCCCAGCTTTGGGAATGGAACACCCAGCCTCAGCCCCACGTGCCTGGGTCAGAAGATGCTAGATGGGCGCGCCTGGGTGGCTTAGTGGGTTAAAGCCTCTGCCTTCGGCTCAGGTCATGATCTCAGGGTTCTGGGACTGAGCCCCGCATCAGGCTGTCTGCTCCGGGGAGACCCTGCTTCCTCCCCTCTCTCTGCCTGCCTCCCTGCCTACTTGTGATCTCTGTCAAATAAATAAATAAAATCTTTAAAAAAAAAAAAAAAAGATGCTAGATGAGGTTCTTGGCCAGGCGCAGAGAAGGTTATCTGCCCCGATCCCCGACTTCCTCTTACAATCCTCCTCCCAGCCAGTGAGGGCCATTGTTCTCCCCACTTGACAGATGAGCAGACTGAGGCTCAGAGGGAAGACAGTGACCACGATGCTGGCCCAGGCCGCCTGCCCCCAGAGACGACTCCCCCTTGTTAGGCCCTGGTAAACGCATACACCCACCTTCAGCCGGTCCCTGAAGCTGAGAAGCTGGTACTCCAGCTCCCGCAGCTGTGGCTGGGGGTCCACGGAGCGCAGTAAATCCAGGACCTCTTGCAGGGGCCTCTCAAGGGTCACCTCTGGCCCATCCACTCTGTCCTCGGGTTCTCCTTTGTCGTGGTCCTTCTGGCTGCCCGGGGCTGTATGGTTGTGCCCTGGGGAGCCTCCTGCCAGGTCGGGGTCCTCTATTCCCAAATTCCTCCAGCCAGGCTGCTCCACGAAGGCGGCTCCAGCCAGATGGGCTATCTCTGGCAGGAGGCCCAGGGGCTGGGGGTCCTCCTGGGCCTCCTCTTCAATGGAGGTGTTGGGGCCAATGGCCAAGGGCAGGAACCCCACGTCCGAGGTAGAGGCTGAGGTGCTGGTCTCCGTGTCTCGGGGGTCCTCGGAGCTGAAGGAGTCCATCTCAGGCAGCTCCTGACTCTGGCTCCGTAGGCCCGGGCCCCGAAGGTCATTGTCAGATAGGTAGCTGAGGATGGGGGTGGCCCTCGGCCCACCCAGCAGCAAAGCCTGCTGCGCTGGCTGCTGCAGGACAGACTGGGGAGGGGACACAGGACCAGCCTCACTGTCACCAGGAACCAAGACAAAGCCCCCAGCGGCGCTTCCCTCCCTAGACACCCACCCTGTCGACGTGACTGAGGCCCACCAAGGCGACCAGTAGCCGGGAGGTGCTGACAGGACCCTGCAGTGTCTCTGCCCAGATCCCCATCGTCCTTCTAACTCACTCCTTTCCAGTCCCTGGGGCCATCACACCATTGCTCATGACCTCCAGGCTCCGCGCCTTCCTGTCCAAGGGCCTTTGCAGGGACTGTGTTCTTTTCCTGGAACCTTCTTCCCCCTAGATCTTTGTGGTCGTGCCCTTGTCCCCTCAGGCCCTCACTCAGATGGCACCCTCACTGGACCTTCCCCTGCACACCCTATTTTAAGGAGCAAGTCCCACCTTGCCCCAGAGTCCCCTTCCTGGCTTATGTTCCCAAGGTCCTTACCCCCTTTTCCCTGAGGACACCGTCCTCACCTGGCCTAAAACAGGGCCTGGCACAGAGTTCTGAATGGGTGATGGGAATGGGCGAGCCCTCGCCCCCTCTGCTGCAGCCCTTCCCTCCCCTTAGACCACTAGTAACTGTTGATGTTCCCACAGCACCAGCCGTTCTCATCAGGCCTTCTTCCAAGCCCTTCTCGTGGATTCCCTCGTTTAATCCTTGCAACCCGCCACCAGAGCAGTGCTGTTGTTTTCAGTTCTCCGATACAGGAATTGATGACCAGAGCGGTTGAGTGCCTTGCCCAAGGTCACACAACAAGTGAGAGGCATAAACGGAATTTGACGCCCCGCTTGTCTGGCTGCAGAGTCCATACTCTGGACCAGATGTGATTTTTTTTTTTTTTTAACTGAAGTATGCCAGGCCCACCATGGCCAGAATATGGAAGAAGCTGACAACGATAGTTGTGCTAAGGAAAGGACCCAGATCTCTGGAGGTCACGGGAAAGAGATGTTTTACTATACACTATGTCAAGGTATTACCTACTAGGAACATATATTAAATTTAATTTTAAAACAAGTAAATTGGAGGCCAAGGCTATGATGGGGGTGGTAGAAACCTCCAGACAACATGACTCCAGGCCTCCAGGAGAACCAGCCAAGCCCGGAACTGAGCCCAGAGGCCCCCAGAACGGAGGGCTGACAGGAAGGAAGAGCCCCGAAACCCACCCAAGATGACCCCAAAACAAGGGAGGCTGAGTCCAGGGCTTACTACCTCCTGAGGCGCCAGGCTGCTCGGCCCAGCCCCGCATGCCAGCCCCCAGGGAGCGGCCCCCAACCGCAATCCCGGCGTGACCACAGCATCCCTGCCCTGGGAAGGCTCACTCACCAGGTAATACCTCTCTCGGAAGCTGGGGGTGCTTGGGGGTGTCCAGTTGTACAAGGAGCCCTTCCTGCTGCCCATGGAGAACTTGCCTGTGGGACTGGGTGACATCAGGAAGCTCTCAGTATCAAACGGGCTGGAGGAGAGAGCAGAAGGGCAGGGTGTCATCCACGCCTGGGAGGACCCCAGAGCACAGACCAGACCTGGGGGGCTTGTAAGAGGGATAGAGGCTTGGTGGGGGCCTGGCCTGGGGTCACAGGCACAGCATAGGGACTCTAGGTGCACATGCTCAATCCCCTTGGGAACATCCCAGACTCCCATCACCCTGAGGGCCCTGAGCCAGATGGCTTATGTGAATGGCACCCCCTTTTGGAGGTCCCCCTGAGAAGCTCAGCAGAGGCACAGTGGACACTCGGTTCTGCCGTTTTCTGGGTCAGCGACATCACCATTCCTCTTGTCTTCATCTGTACAAGGGGCACCATTATCTCTCAAAGGACCTCTGTTGGTCCTGGTCACAGGTAAGGCGGGGAATCCAAAAGGAACGTGTGAAATACAGGGGAAGTGGGGCTCAGCCGGGCCCTCCCTGAGCCTGCCCTGGGAGCCAGGAGGTCTAGGAATCTCCCTACCACACAGAAACCGGTTCCCTCTCCTTCACTCAAAGGCCTGGCTCTGGCTCTGTGGGGCCCAGACCCTGCAGGCGCCTCCTGGGAAGCCTTCTCTGCCTGCCGTGGGCTTGCAGCCTTGGATTTGCCTCCCTCCCGTGGAGGTCCCTATGGGCTCAAGGGGCCTCCCGGGGAAAAAGTGTCCCCCGCCCCCACTAGACAGGTGAAGACACTGAGGCTGGGGGTGCTCACTTGCCCCAATTCACCCGACTGGGGAGAAAGCAGCAGCAGGGACCCAGGGTTGGATGCCCACCCCAGGAAGAAGAGACTGGAGAGAGTGGCCCCAAGAGTCAGAGCAAGCACCCGCCCGGAGGAAGCGTGCCTCAGCCCTCAGCTCCCGCAGCACCTGCCGTGCACAGCGAAGAGAAGAAAATTCTCTCCAAACAATAGGTTTCATTTAGAGGAAGAGCAAACCCAAAGCCCGTGCAGACCACCAGCATTCAGGGAACGGCCCGAAACAACCCCTGCCCCCTGCGATGCCTGATGGCGAGCCCCCCACCCCGGGCAGGGATTGTTTTCATGAGTGTCCCCCATCCATGGGCTCCTGGTCCATGGGAGCTAAGCGAGTGCTCCGCCTGTGCCTGCAGGGGAAGGAAGTGAAGGGGGCTGTAGGTGAGTCCTCCTGGGCGGAGACTAGGCTCCCTCACAGAACCCAGCCCAGGAGGCCCCTGGAAAGGGTCCCGGCCAGCACGGGTCTCTAGTTGTAAGACGGGAACGAGAACGCAGAGGGCGGGGAAGGTCAGGTGGGCAGAGGCTACGAAGGAGTCTAGGTTCCAGCCTGTCCGTGGGGCAGGATAAGGGCAGGATGCCCACTGGTGCGTGGTAGGCTGCGGTCCGACCACCAGGGGGAGCCAGGGAGACCCGTCACGGCTCCCGCTGCGGGTGGGAGTCCTGTGGGTGGGAATTTGGGGCTGGCCTTGGGGCGGGGCATCAAAGCCCTGGAAGGCAGCAGGCCCCCACTTACTTCCACAGCACCTCCAGCTGGAGCTTGATGGTCCCCAGCTCTGTGATGTCCACCACGATCACCTGCGGCCTGGTCGTGAAGAAGTCCGTGATGTCGCACGTCACCGTGCCCACTGCCAGTGAACTCAGGCCCCTCAGCTCTGTCACCTGGGTGGGGGGCAGTTGTGGATGGCATCTGAGCTGAGTCCCTGGACACCTTGGCCCCGTCCCCCAGGCCCCACCCACCTTGATCTCAAAGTTCTCGTGCAGGGTGGGGATGAAGGCCTTCTCCTCCTCCTCCCAGGTCTGGCTGTCGTCTGACTCAATCCGGCCCTTCAGCTTCCAGCGCTGGCGGCCCAGACGCATGAGCACCTGTGGGCATGGGCCAGGAAGGGAAAGGTCAGCTGCCCCAGGTAGGCCCGCCCCCTTGCCACCTGTCTGGGGGTCCGCCAGCAGGGACCCTGGTTCCCAGGAGCTCCCAACCCCCTAAGGCCTGGTGGGGAGGAACCCTGAGGCCTGACAGCAGAGGTGGCCCTACCTCATACTGGTCTCCGGGACAGAGGCGTGCGTAGCCCACCAAGCCTGGAACACAGAGACGGGCTCATCTCCTCTCCGGCCTACTCTGCCCCCCACCCCATGGACCTCAGGCCCTCACTGGGGAACCCCCTACCCAAGTGTGGGTGTCCACTTCAGGGAGGGATAAGTCGTCAGGACGGGCAGTGGACAGGACTGGGCCCTCACGTCCAACTCAGGGGACGGGCCTCTGCTGAGGTCACAAGTCCCATGAGAGGAAGCCCGGAGTTTTGCCTGGAGCCCTGGGATTCTGACCAAAGCCCCACCCTGAGCAGAAGTCCCAGGGCCCCCAAGAAGGCCTGAGGCCCCCGCCCAAACTGGCTTCTGCCCCCTCCCGCTCTCAGCTCTGTTACCTTTCATCCTGATGTGGAACTCTCCCAGGTGAACCTCCAAGGCCGCCTCGATGAGCCACATGTCCTGCAAAGCCCCACACAACGTGGCTCATGGACCAGCCCAGGGCCACGTGAGGTGGGAGGAAGGGGGCCTGCAGATCCTGCCAGCCAGAGGCCCGGGGGATGCAGGGGGGTGGACAGAGAGGGATGCTTCCTCGGGGTCCAGGCACCCCCCCCCATAGGCTGTCCTCTGCGTCCCTCACTGCCCACCCACCTCGATGCACTCCTGCAGGCTGCGGCCCAGCTCCTGCAGGCTCTCTCGGGAGGCGCGGCTGGGCGGGCACCTGGAGAAGGCCCTCTGCATGTTGGAGGCTCCATCCCGCAGGCGGCACTGGATACAGTAGCCCTCATAGAGCTCATCCACCTGCGGCAGGTGCACGGGCTGCCGGGTGCTGTCCGTGCCGGGGCGCGGGGCCCCATGCAGCCCTGCACTACAGGGTCAGCGGCCCTGGGGTCCCCCGCCCATGAATGTGAGCCCAGGGTCAGAGACCACACTGCTTACGCACTCTACACGCAGCGCCTAGCAGTGCACAGTAAAAACTAGTGAACTGGGTGGGCAAAAGCACCACTTCCCCTCTCCCTGTCCAACTTCTGGACTGTAAAACGGGGAAGGTAGGTTGGTGATTCCCTGCCCAGCCACTGGGCCGCCGGGAGAGTAAAGCAAGGGCATGGAAGAGCTGGTAGAGTATAAAGCTTAAAGGCCTTGCTGTGTGACCTTGGGCCCATCCTGTCCCTCTCTGGGCCTCTACTCTCCCATCTCTGCAATGGGGTGGTTGGACTCAGACTTCTCACCCTGTAAAATGGAGCATAAGACCTTTCCCTCTAAACCCCACACTCCTGGGGAGCCCAGCACCCCCTTTTCCCACTGACCCCAACCTCAGGGCTGAGCCCCTGCAGACTCTGCTCCTTCTCAGCCTCTCCCCTGCCAACCCACTGGAAGTCCAGGAAGTCCCAGCCCCACACCATGACCTCCAGGAGGCAGGCTGACCTTGCTGATGTGAAACTCCATCTTCCGGATATGCCTTTCCACAGAGCGAGTTTGCTTCTCCCGGGAAAAAAAAAAAAGGTGCTTTCAAAGTAGTCTGGGCCGCACCCCCCCCCCAACCCGGCCGCCAGCCCCTGCCCCTTCCTCTGGGTCCTAACACCTAGAATGGGGCTCAAAGCCAGGCCAGCCCCTCACCATCCTCAAGGAAGGCTTGTCATTGAACCTGTCTCCCCATTTGTAAAATAGGGAGGAAACCCAGGAGTGCCTCCGGCAGGACAGCCCGAGGGGTGGAATACATGGTCCCTCTCACCCAGCAGGGCCCAGCCCCGGCCCACCTTGCTTACGGCCCTGCAGACAGAAAGTCTCGCTCACCTTGTCCAGGTCATAATAGAAAGCCTGTGGGGGAGAAAAGAAGGGGGAGGAGGGGGTTGTCAGGTCTCCAGGTGCTCCTCCAAGACCCTGAGGCCACATCTCAGGGGCCCCTGAACTCAGATGACAGAAAACCAGCAGCCACTCCCTCCTCTGCGGCCTGCAGTCAGTGGCCTGGTCTGGAGTCCGGGGGAAGAGCGATAAACACATGGGCTTTGGGCTGAGGCAGTTCTCAGCCTGGTTTTGCTTCCCAGCTGTGTGTCCCAGGCCAGTTACTACACATCTCTGAGCCTCCATCTCCTCGGGCAAAATGGGGTGGCCATAGCACAGAGCACCTGCCCCATAAGGTTGCCGTGGAAAGTCAAGGACACGGTAAGCCCTCGACAAAATGGGGACCATTACAGTCTGATTGTTTAAGGGGTGATTTTGACCATGGGCAGAGCGACGGAGGGAGGGGCCGCCCCAGGGGCAGGGGGTTCAGGCTTGGGGAAATGCAAATCAAGACTGGCCCAGTCATGCCAGGGGCCGGCCGGGGGTGGCCACAAAAAGAACATATCAGCTGGGCAGATCTTCGTATAAAGGACCAGACAGGAAATAGTTTCGGCCTTGGGGTCCACGTGGTCTCTGCCACGTGGTCCGTGCGCAGCCACACCCAACATGTCAGTGTCGGCCGTGGCCATGTGCCGATAAACTCTATTTCCAAACAGGCCCTCATTTGCCCACATAGCTCAAATCACCCTGCCTGAGCCGGGAGGAATTTCCACGAGGTCAGAGATTCACTAGAGAGAGAAAGCCAGACGTGGGACGGTGGGTAGGTTGTAACTTCGTCTTTCTAAGACAACTGTTGACCAAAACCTTCTCGACGCTTTCGTGAGCTTACATGACTACGTGACCAGGGAGAAAAATATGGAAAGAGAAATCCTAGATTGTTCTCAGGGGTGAAACAGGGTGGGACACTGAACACGGGGGAGGAGGGGGTGTCAAGCAAAAGAACAGGTGGGTTCAAATCCCCCAAAGTGTGTGTTTTCCCACATTTGCGTTTATGAGAAGTGGTCCGTGTGTGCTAATGGAGTTAAGACTCCACGTAAGCTATAGAGAAATAGGAAAATTCTCAAGCCTTTGGAAGGAAAAGGAACTGGCAGAAAGCTGAGAAGCAGCCGTGTCCAGGGAGGCAAGACCCCAGATCCCCAGCGTGGCCACCCCTTCCCTCACCTCAGTGAGCCCATCTGTGAAGTGGGAGCAGCTAGACCAGAGGAGCCTTTGTACGCTTGCCTACCTCACAACTGCTTCTAGAGCCAGAAAGTGGGGGTTAACTGCTTGAACGGGGTGGGGGGTGGTGGGGGGAGGGAGGGTGAGCGCTTCCTATCCACCCGTGAGGCGAAATCCCTCTGGGGCCAAGTGAGGTGGGATCATCAAAAAATACAGACAGTCCATCCCTTAGGCCTCTGAGCTCCAAGACGGAGATTTACACCCATGATGCAGGCCGGGGGCGAGGGGGAGCCCATCTCTGCACCCCACTAAGGCTGCTTGGGTGGGAAGGGGCAGGGGCAGGGAGAGGTCTCACCAGCCTCGAATTCCTGCGGGTGTCCTTGCGGCGACCTGACAGGTAATCCAGCTCCGCCTGCTGGATGCAGAGATACTCCCTGTGAGGAGAATGAGGAAGAGCAGTTTGCCAAGGAACAAGAAGAGGAAAAGAAATGGCCAGGTGACCCGTGTTCTGGAGCCGAGGCGGCCACAGCTGCCAACAGGAACAGCGGTGGTTGGGGGTGAAGAGGGAGATGAAAGGACCTGGTGGAGGCACAGACCTGAGGTCAGAGGGACAGAGCCATCCCGCCCTCCGGAAGCCTGGCCCCAGCTCGCTCAGCCTCCAGACCCCACATGCTGAGGGCTGTGTGCTCAGGGCTGTGCGAAAGGGAAAATCTGTCCATTAGTTCACCAAACAGTGGCACAAATAGGTCCTACTGTTATTATACCCATTTTAGAGATGGGCACACTGACCCTCAAAACTGGCGAGGAACTCAGCCCAGAGTCACAACAGGGAAGAGGCTGGACCCAAGTCTGAAACCAGGAAGTGACTTTCAGAGGCCCCTGTCTTCACCCCAGCCCTTGGAGGGTTCAACAAGGGCACGCCCCGCTCCCCGACAAAAGCAGGCCGTCCTGGTGCCTGCATGTTTAGGACCAAGGAGGAGAGAAGGGCTGGAAGACCCATTCTGGGAGGCACAGAGAAAGCTGTGGGCCTGGAGGGGACATTTCATGTTCTTTTCCAGCCAAAGAGTCCTAGACCTGAAGCCTAAAGTCTGGACTTGGGGGCCAGGGTGAGGTCCCATCCTGCTTCATCATGGATTTACTGGGCCGCCCCAGGAAGGTGACTCGCCCTCTCTGGGCCCCCTTACACCACCATTGGCCAGGCCATTGCTTACTCAGGGGTTGGGCTCCCCAGGAAGAAGGGTTGAGTGAGCCCAGACAAGTTCCAAATGTGTGTTCCTTACAGGAATCGCCAGAGGGAGTCCCGGGAGATGAGCCCCTCGAAGACGGGCTCTAGGCACATGTGCTCCCCACTGCCACTCTGCACCGGCACTGGGTCAGTCGTGCAGCACGCATCATGGGCCAAGGGTACTGGATACCCCCTGTGCTGGCAGTCAGGACCTGGCAAGTTGGGGAGGTGACATTTACCCTGAGCTGGTGGAGACACAGGGCACGTCGGCACTGGCCCTGGAGCCCTATGCCCTGCTTCCTGGCTGTGGGACTGTGGACAAGTTGATTCCCAACTTTGGGACTCAGTTTCCTCTCCTGAGGGGAGGAGGAGGTTAGGAGATTCTCTGAGAGAATTCTTCAGGGATTCGAGGGGACAATGTGTATGAAGTCCCGAATAAGCCGTACCTGCTGCTGTCACTGTTACTAATTAGTGAGGCACGGAGAGCAGGATCACAAGGGGTTGGGGAGGGACAGGCATCCCAGCAGGAAGGAACAGCATTGGATTCAGACAGCGTGCATGTGTGCTGACCTAGGGACATGGGCGAATAGCGGCCTGCGGAGACTCCCCGCTGCCCAGTTCCTGCTCAGCAAGAGCCAAGGCACAGGCACGTGAAGGAAGATGGCATATCCGGGGACCAGTGTGGATGGGGAGTGAATAACAGAAGAAAAGTCTAGAAAGATGGAAGGTCAGAAAGGACCCTGATGTCCTCCCAAGGGTAGTAGGGAGCCATGGGAGAGATTTGAGCAGAGCAAGGTGGCAAGTGGGGAAGGGGTGGGTAGGGGCGGGCCCAGGACTGCAGCAAGATGGCCCTGGATGCCCAGTTCGGGGTTGAAGAACAGGGAGGAACTACTGGCAGCGGCCCTCCTTGTGACTTACTCATGGGGCAGCACCGCGCCTAAACCAGAGCCCTGACCTCCTCCGTGAACCTCAGGTTTGTGCCCCAACTACCTCCTTTCATCTCCCTCTTCACCTCCGACCCCTCCCTCAGTAAATCCTGTCTGCTCACCTGCAAAATATATCCTGAAACTGACCCTGTCCCCTGACCACACAGCTGCCACCTGGCCACGTCCACCATTGTCTCCCACCTGGGCCTTTGCAGTCACCTTCTTACCGGCCTCCCCACTTCTGCCCCAGGCCCCTGCAGTCCATTCTTCACGTATAGCCATAAGGATCTTATTAAAACCAAACTAGGATCATCAGGTCCTTCCCCCACATGGAACCCTCCGTGGCTCCCAGCTCACCCCGTAACATCTGGTCCCCATTGTCCCCCAGACCTCCTCACCCCTCCCTCCCTCTCTCAGCTCCCAAGCTGGCCTGCTTACTACACCCCTGATGCTCTCATCACGCTCCTGCCCCGGGGCCTTTGCATGTGTGGCTGGCTTGGCCTAGAATGTTCTTTTTCCATTATCTGCTGGTCGCACTCCTTCACTCCTTCAGGTTTTTGCTCAAATGTCACCTTCTTAATGAGAGCTTCTTTGAACCTCTTATTTAAAATCAGCCCCATGCCTTCTTACCCTGATTTACTTACCACCACCTGACTTACTCTGTATTTTGTTTGTTGTCTGTCTGTCTCCCATTAGGAAGCTCCACGGGGCAGGGATTTCTGGGTTGTGTTCACTCCCACACCCTGTGCCTAGCGCTTCAAAAGCCCTCAAGCAAAAAGTGTGGAGCGAGTGGCTGAATCTTCCCGGCCTGGGCTCTGCCCAGCTAATCAGTCCACCTCTCCTGCACTCAGATCCAGCCACCCTGGCCTCCCGTCCTACATGCTCCTACTTCACGGCCTTTGCCTATGCTGTTCTGTCTGCCAGGGATGCTTATCTCCCAGAGGCCAACACGACCACCCGGATCTCCTCGGCTAGTGTCCCCGGTCACCCTGTCGGCTAGGCCTTCCACGCGCTGCCTCGCCGTCCCCTTCCTTCATTGCCCTCAGGGCTGGTGGCAGTTACTGTCGACCGCGTCACTCCCATGTTGCTGTCTCCCCTCTACGCCATAAGTGCCACAAGACCAGCGTCCTCTGACAGCCTGCACTGTGTCCCTAGAGCCCAAGGACAGGCCCGAGCGTGGGGCTGTCCCCAGGATATGCTCGTGGGCTAAAGGAATAAGCAGGAGCTGGGTCCCTCGGACAAGACCCAAGCGCGTTCCTCAGTGAGGGGCCGAGAAGAGAGGAGGCGAGGACAGAGGACGAGCACTTTCAGGGCAACAAACAGGGTCCTTACTTGAGGCCTCTCTTGAGGGCTTCAAAGATCTTCTTCACTTGCTGCGGCTTGGGGTCGGGGCAGACAGACCCCTTCCGGAGCGTGCCGTACATCTTGGAGGATTTTGCAGGCATCCGAGACCTCACGGAGTTCCCATGGATGGACTTTCTGTGAGAAGGGCGGAGGGTCAGAGCAGGGATGTTGGACAAAGCCCTCCCCAGGGACAGGCGCTCTGGGATCAGTGACCAAACCCCAGTCTGTCAGGAGGACTGGCTGAGTCCCACCCCATGTGGGTGCCATGTGATCTGAGGCAAGTTGCTAAGACACTCTGGGCCTCAGTTTCCTCATCTGTAAAATGAAGGCTTGCATTTGAAGATTAAAAAAAGACAATGAAGAACTTGACGTGAGAAATTAACACGGTGAGGAATATATTCGAGCAGCCCAAAGGCCAGTGGTTTGTCTATACAGTGTCTATACAGTGTGCTCTGTCTACACAGGCAAACAAGCCGGGAGGCCAGATCGTAGCCCAGCCACCTGTTGGCTTAGTCTGCCTGGGATCCATGCCCCTCCTTCTGGGAAGAGCACCTCAGTTTTCCTCTGGGGCATCTCCCTAACTCTGCTCTTTATACATGTGGTTTGGAGGGAGGTAGCCTGACAAATGACCACACACACACACACACACACACACAGGTATTCTGAGTCAAACGCATATCCCAGACCTGGGTTAGTCAACAGACTCCACTCCCCTGGCTCAGAGAGAGGCACAGGACCCATGTCTGGCCAGTAACCCTGCCTGGAGTTTGGTTCCAAATTCACAGGCAGGCAAATGGTTCTTTCTTCTGGCGGTGCTATTCTGGGGGAACATGTACCCAGAACTGCCAGCCATGTCCTTTGCATCATGGTAGGGAGAATGGAACCAACACATGGAGATGCAGGTGTAGGCAGGCCAAATCCACATAATGATGAGTTCCTGGATCCAGCTATGCCTGAAGCTAGACCTGCCCATGGGATTTCAGTTACATGAGCCAATTGGTTCTCTTTTTTTGCTAAGCCTATTGGAGTTGGGGGCGTGGACTGAATGATCCTAAGAAGTGATGTCTCCTGGCAGTGACTGCTGTGTCTGTCAGCCCTTGAGGGATAGAGCAGCATGTCAGGAGTCACTGCAGTCCTGCAAGGTGAGGGTTCCCTCATTACAGTTAGGAGCTGCTTCACTGCCATCTGAGCACCTTCTAGAGTCCTGTGATCCTATGTCTCATCCACTAGGTACAAGACCAGGGCGAGCTGACACACTCACCACCGGGCAGGCTTTAGTCCATCCTCTAAAGGCTCAGCCTTTAAAGACCCTGTTTCCCAGATGACTCTGCACCTTGTGTAGCTTCACCGACTCCCTTCTCACAGAAGAAACTAGGGTAGAAATGACACTCAGACTAACATCTGGGTCAGTTTCTTAAAGGAGCCACTAGCTTTTCTTTCCAACTTCTTCCTTCCCTGTCTTCCTCCCAGGTGTGCTAAGGAGTCAGCTTCAACCTGTGCTCTAAGGTCCAGGGCAGGGGTGAGGTGTGGGGGATGGGTGGGCAAAGAGAGAGGTGCAGGGTGGGGGGAAGCCAAGAGGGGAGAGAGAGAAAGGTGGGGGAGAGGGGAGCATGCGCCAAGTGGGAGGTGAGGAGGGGTGCAGGGGAGAATAAGCAGTCTTATTTAAGTCCCTATATTTGGGGGAGTTTCTTTGTCAAAGGAACTTCACCTCTATGCTAATGCACTACCCGAGTCTCAGTTACTTTTCTGTTAAATGGGAAAACAATAGACCCTAAACCAGAAAGCAGTGCTGAGAATTCTCTTAGACACCAGGTCAAATATTTGGCCCAGCGGAGGCAGTAGGCGCTTAATAAGTGTTTCCTACTGTTATAATCATCATATCCTATCTGTATCATTCCCTGTACCCACAGCCTGGAAAACAGTAGGTATTCAGTAAGTGCTGACCTGAACAGAATGAGGCAAGGAAATACAGCATGATGTGGGGACTAGAGAGCAGAGACGTCTGGGAACCTAAGCACTCAGCTGGACCTCAGAGGAAGAACAGGATGAGGGGTGAGCCCCAGAAGGGTGTTTCGGGGGGTCAGAGTGAGCCAGGGAGGAGAGGAGGAGCCATCCGATCTGTGTGTGACGGCAGGCGCAGAGCAACGTGCCAGGCTTGACTGAAGCAGGGTGAAGCTGGATGTGGGGGTCCTCCCTGCCTGGGGGAACCCACGATGGGGAGGGAGGAGGAGATGACCAGCTCCCCAGCTTCAAAGACCTCGAGGATGACAATGGGGGAGCATAACGAGGGTGCATGGAAAGAAGGTGTTCTCTGAGCATCTGCTGCTTCCCCTGCCTGCTGAGGGCTTTATATAAACATTTATTTTAACCCTACTGCCAGGTAGGGAAACTGAGGCTCAGATAAGTCACTTGCCCTGGATCATGCATGTGGCAGAGCTGGGATCCAAACCCACTCGTGGGCAGATACCCGGCCTGGGAGGTGAAGCACCATTCTGGGGACGGGGCGCAGGGTTCCCTTGGGCCCTCGGGGTCATCTGATCTGACCCTCCCCTGACCACAGTTTCAGGGTCACCAGGTCTTGGGCTAGGCCTGAGAATCTGCATTTCTCACATGTTCCTCGGGGCTGCCAGTGCTGCTGATCCAAGGCCCGCTGTCTGAGGGGATTCACTAACGCTCCACTCTCCACTCGGGGGCGGAAACCCAGCTATGCCTCTCTCCCTGGGTGTCCTTTAGAGTTTCCTGCACTTTTGAGACCTAAAACCAAGGGTCTGGGACTCATTCATTCAAACACTCACAGAGCCGGGCTTTTCTTGAGTCAGACACGTGAGGGGAGCCAAGGGGCCAGGGTCCCACCCTCAAAGGCTCTCTCTGTCCATGGGAGGAGGGGAGGATTGTGGTCTGGAGACACAGGCAGGGGCAAACAGGACACATCTCCGGCTCCCTCCCTTGGCAGGGCCGAGAGGAGCTCACTGGCACCCCAGGAGAATCCGCGGGCAGCCCAGCTATAAGTCCAGCTCAGCCAGACACTGCGAGGTCTACACACACACATAGACACCTGCTGCTGACTCAGGAGACAGGAGCCGTCCCGGCCACCGCTCCGGCTGGGTTCCTGCCACGTCTGTGCAGCCACATCACAAACCAACGTGGGAGAAACAGAGATGCCGGGCCCTGCCTGAGCGTGCTAAATGGGTCCCAGAGGCTACTGCAGCAAGGAAGAGTCTGGGAGGATTGGGGGCCTCGCCAGCCTGGGAGCCTGCACTGTCTTGAGAGACAGGAGCCCCCGGTTAGCCACCCATGTTCTAGTCCCAGCCTGAGGTCATAGGTACTTAGCATCCTGGAGCCTCAGTTTCCCAATCCGTAAAAAGGACTGACCCCATGGCACCGTCCTGAGACAGTCATTCCTTCAACAGATATTGACTGGTGAGCGCTAAGTGCACACCAACATCCCTCTAGGGGCTGGAAGTAAAACAGTGACCGAAACAGACAAAACCCATGTCCTGGGGAGCTGCCAGGCCAGCTAGGGGGTGGGGGGGCCCCTGGACAGCCAGCCCAGGTGCTGGAGCTAGATGCCAGGGTCTCTATGGTAACCCCACTTATAAGCCGTGTGATCTTGGCTAAGTTATTGAACCTTTCGGTGCCTCAGTTTTCTCCTCTGTAAAATGGGCACTAGAGAAAAAGGTCGCTACATGAGAGTTGCCTAACTTGACAAATAAATGGAAAGAGCTTTGAGTTGTGCAAACGGTCAGTGTTATGTATGTGTCAGAGTCAGAGAAGATACTAAACGCCAAGGGCAAAAATAAAAGCAGGATGATAAATTTAAATTTACGTGGGGGTGAGCTGGGAAGGCCCCTCCAGTCAGCTTGGGCACAAGCTTGGTATATCCGCACACTCATCCCCTACCTGCTTTCGCTCGTACTCGTATATGATGTCAAGTTACGTTTTTGGAGGCCGGCGAAGGGGCTGTGCTCCCTCCTCCCTCACCCTGCCTGAGGCCACCTCACCCACCTCTTGGAACAGATCCTCCACGAAGCTGACATCTCCAGGCTGGCAGACACAGGCGGGCTGCGGCCTTCGCGGAGGTGGGCTTTGGACAGGCTGGGGCCCTGGCCAGCCGGCGGGGAGACAGGGGGCGGGAGGCGGGGGCAGCCACTTTGAGGGGGGCTGCAGGAACCCTGCTCACCTGCCAGCTCCCGGGGGTCCACAGTCCCCAGGAGGTGGGTGCCCTTGGCCGGGCCCCGCCTCCATCTGCCTGGAGACTTCCTTGTGCTGCTGCAGCTGTGCCTGCCTGGGGGGGGGGGCAGGGGGGGCCGGGGGCTGTGAGTTCAGGGCTCTTGTCTGAGGTTCCCCGGGCAGCCAGCCGTGGTGGCCGCTCTGAGCGCTGGCTCAGCCTGGGAAGGCAATGTGTGTGTGTATGTGTGTATATGTGTGTGTGTGTGTCCTTCAGGTGGTGACATCAGGCGGGCCTAGTGACACAGGGGCTGGGGGAGGGTGTGGCCTCCGGGGGCGGAGGTTTTACCAGCTCCGGGAGGACTCAGTATGAAACAGCCTCTGGCATGCCAGACAAGCTTCCAGAAGGCCATGTGCCATCCAGTGGCCCCCACCCTCACGTGAGGCCACCAGGATGGTCCTTCCACCTGGGGTTGTCAGCACCCGCTTCTGCAGGTGCGGGGTCTGGAGGCGGGCAGAGCTGGCTGCAGCCGGGGCGGGGGACAATTATAAGACCAACCTCCCACAGTTCAGACCAGAACCCGGTGCGCCGATGGTGTAAGCTGACCTTTTCTCCCAACGCTGGGGTCACTGGTGGGCGGGGAGGGTGTGTGACACGCACAGGGCACGCTCGGAGGTCAAGCCTCATGTGGCCTAGCCCCTTCTTACACATGTGTCTGAGGTGTCGCCGTCTCTACAGTCAAGGAAACGGGTCCCGTGACTGCCTCTGGCCCCAGAACCTGCACCCCTAACCGCTCCTCTTTCTCTGGCCACTTCTCCTTGAAAATCAAAGGCTACTGGTCAGTTTTCACCACCACGTGCCCCAGCCATCCCAAGAGAGATACGCCCAGGGTGGCCAGGACAGTGGCTCCTAGCTCAGATGGGTGCCCTCCTGACAACCTGGGGGAGAGCTGACTGGCCGAGGAGTGGCAGGAAGGGGTTAAAAGCAGCCATGCCTATAAACTGGGGCAGAATGGGATAGCATCAGGGCCTGGCCCTCTACTTCCTCTCCCCGCCTTAGTCCATATGGCCTCTTATTACATTCTTATATATGTATTTAGATACGCCCTTAATAGCCATCATTCACACCTTAGTGTAAAATTTCCCCACCAGATAGATCACCTCCTCAATTGAATTCTTTGGTTATGGAATAAAAAGCTATGGCCAAAATCAAAGGGGTTTCAGGTGCCAGGACAAGGGCGGGGGTTGGGGACAAGGGGGGCCTCAGTGAGCTTCGATCTTCTGCTCTCCTGAGATTATTTTTCCTGCCTGCCTCTGCAGCGTGGCTGTGCTTCAGCCTGGTTGGATTACCGGAGAAATAAGGCCAGGAGGTGAGGTCTGAAACCCAATCCAGGTCGTCCAGCCGCAGAGCCAAGGGTCCAGACTCCTGGGAGTCGGACAGAGACAGGAAGTTAAAAATAGATGTGCTGCTTCCCTGTCCTTGTGGGCAGCTTCTTCCTTCCCCACGGACAAGGGGGCCCAAGAGACTGAGGCCAGGTGGTGGTCACTCAGGGACCTTAGAACCCACCCAGGCTGGGAATTCTCCAGAATTCCCCGAGTAAGGGATCCTCCAGAAGAAGCAGCCCCCAGGAGAGATCCAGCCATCAGGTCATCTTTCTCAGACTAGGACGCAGACCTTGTGAGATGTGATCTTGTCTTTGCTGATGCCAATGAGCCCTCGTGGGACTGGGTCAGATGCCCTCTGTCCTCTTCCCACCCAGAGAGCTGACCCCAGGAATCCCGGAATGGGGCCACAAGAGGCCAGGGACCCATCTTGGGATGTTATCTGGGCAGAGATCCTGACTGGGGACCTGTGGAACATTCCCATGGATGCAGGAAGTCCAGAGGCCCCCAAAGTTCTGGCAGGGGGAGAGCGACAGGCAGAACCATTCATGAGACCCAGTACAAAAGAAAATGCAGGGTGCTTTTTTTCAAAACATATTAAGGATTTCGAGATGGAATAGCAGAGCATTACATCTGAGCCTGGGGCGCTAGTGCGCACACACGTGGCACACTCATGCAGCTGACCTTGGCTGCAGGGTCTGTGGAACGCCCACACCCTTGCCCGCCACGGGAACAAAGTCCCCAGGGTACCACTGTGTGAATTAGAGAAAGGCACCTGCTATGTGGACCAGCTCTACGCCAGGGCCCACGGCTTGGGAGGGTTATGTGGCTGGATGACCCCCTTAGCCGGGTGACCCGAGCAGCCCTGGTTACAGACCCCATGGGGTGGGGGCCCTGATAAAGTCCAACAGAGGCAGCTGGGGGTGGGGGCGGTGCCATCAAGGAACATCATCATTCCCTGGCCAGTTTACTTAGCCCCTCTCAGCAGCACTTATGGAGTGCCTACTGTATGCCTTCCCCAGAGTGACATCCACACTTTCTCCTCTTGGAGGCTCGAGGCGGGGGACTGGGCACTCACTCTGGGAATTTCCGTTTCTCATGCTTCGCTTCTTTGATGCTCCCCTTACACTGCACTGTCCTCACTGTCTCCCAAAAAGCCCTGCAGCTCTCCCTCTCTCACTTCTATCCCACAAGACAGAGACACACGCACTTCCTGTGCCTCAGAGCTCATCCCCACCTCGGGACCTTTGCACTGGCTGCCCCCTCTACCTGGAGGAGTTCCCCAGTTGTCTGCACAAAATAGGCAGCTTTTCTCCCTGGCTTTAAACGTGCCACTGCCTTGCTGAGGGCCTCCACTGAGACCCCTGCTGCCCTCCCACAGCCCCCTGTTGTAATTTGCTCACAGCACTTGAAACCAGCTGAATCCATCTTGATTACATTTGGCTGCTTGTTCACTGCCCTGACAGGAGGGCGGGGCCTGGGTCTGTCCCCAAAGCCTGGGACTGGGCCTGGGCCGAGGAGGTGCTCCATAAATATTTGTGGAATGAATTAGGGATTCCTAAGGGTGCTTCCAACTGGGACACTCTAGGATTTCAGCCCTGAGATGCCACTCCTCCCAGGCACATGCTGGAACTGAGTAGCCAGGAGACAAGTGGGCGAGCCAGGAGAGCCTGACCTCAGGGGCCAGGCATCCCTGGGGGTCGAGTGTGCAGCTGTGGAACCCCAGGGAAGAGCCACAGGCAGACCTGGTCTGGGGCTCAGGACATGGCAGTGAAGCCAAGGGCCCAAGGAGATTAAGGAGCTGTTTGTTTGGCCAGGAGAGGGGACTGGATTGTTTTCTAGGTGACTGGAAACCTGTGGAAAGCTTCAGGCAAGAGAAGGCCATGAGATTTGGTTGTTGACTGACTCACTGACCAACCAGTTCGGAGCCCTGCTTGGCTGGGAGAGCTGCCTGTCTACCACACTGGCTTGGACAGGCAAAGTGCTTGGACCCCTCAGGATGCCCCACACCCCAGGCCCGCTACTTGGCAGGCAGCCCCCCCAGGTTTGCGCCTTGCCTGATAGGAAGCCCAGGACCAGGCAGCAGCCCCCAGGAGTGGAAACGAACCTTCCTCCTGGGGATTACTTGTACCTGGAGGAAACACATGGAGTGGCCATGAACTCATTCGTGTCTAGAAGGTCTGCACTGACCCCAGGTCCATCTCCTGCTCCTTTGAAAATTTCCACAAGCATCTGCAGGGCTCCGGCATGTAATGGCTGCTTGCTACGTGTCACCTCATTGTACTCTCATGACAGCTATGTGGGGGAGGGACACTCATGATCCCCATTTCACAGATGAGGAAACCGAGACTTGAAGGTGAAGTCACTGGCCCCAGGTCATAGAGCTGGGATAGGTGGCCCCACGTCTGTTCTGTCAAACAGGAAGAACATTCCATCCTAACCCCGCCCCCAGGAGCCTAAGTTCCGGTTCTGAACCAGTCTTGCTGTGTGGCCTTGGGTGAGCCGCTCCTCTTCTCTGAGCCTTTTTTCTCATCTGCCAAGTGGGTCTGATAAGCTCGGGCATTTGCAACTTCCAACACCAACTGAGATGATACCCATTTGGGTCTCAAGGAAATTACAGGTTTCTCCCAGCGCCAAGGGTCACACACGCACGCACGCACGCACACATGAGTACGTCTGCACACGCACGCACGGCTCTGGGCTGCGGACTTGGCAGGAGAGCTGCCCGCGGGGTCACAGGCACCGGGAGACGAACCAGCCCCGCACCCTCCAGCGGGGCAGAACTTACGCGATCCTCCGGCTCTGGGCGCTGCTGAAGCCCGCGAAGGAGGCGCTCCGGCCCACGACCCCGACAGCCCCCGCGTCCCCGGAGGACAGGAACCGCAGCCTCACCGACATGGCCGTCACCTAAGACGGGGAGAGGACAGGAGAGTCAGCCTCGCACCGCCATCTGGTGAGTGCTGACCGCGGCCAGCCCCCGCCACCACGGCCCCCAGGGCTGTTAGATAGCCGCAGAGAGGGGGCGGCTGGTACTGTCCCCAGGCGACAGATGAGAAAACTGAGACTCAGTGAGATTAGGGAACCTGCCTGGAGCTAGTGGCAGGAGCGAAGCTCGAACCCAGGTCTCTGTACTCTGCGCTCAGGTCCTTAATGCCGGAGCAATCCTGAGCCCTCCAGCAGGGGGGCGTCTGCTCCTCCTAAAACCAGACCTGCTGCTGACCTCCTCTGAGTTACTCCTCGCTGCCGGTAACCCCCCTCCACAACCTTCACTGAGCACTGTGTGCCAGACACCCTGCTGGAGACACGCACTGAGCAAGACGGACAAAGCCCTTGCCCTCCCGGGCTCCGAGTCTGGCAGGGAGCTGATGAACTACCAGCTACAGTAGGAAGTCTCTGGCAAAGCAGTGGGGGAGCCCAGGGAGAACTTGATCTAGCCACAGAAGAGGCGACCAAGGGCTGAGAGGGAAAGGCTGAGGAGGGGAGGGAAGGATATCTGAGGCAGAGGGAACAGCATGGGCAAAGGCCAGGGGGTGCAGAAGAATCAGTGTCATCCAGAAACAGAAAGCAGTGTCGCAGGTTGGGCATGACTCTAGGCGAGGCTGGAGACTCCCACAGTGTGCAGGTCATGGAGGGCCTTGGTAACCCCAGGGAAGGTTTTGGCCTTGCAAAGGGGCCAGAGTGACTGGGAGCCCCCAGAGGGTTTTGAGCAGGGGTTGACAAAGCCCATCTCACAGGAGGCCAGGCTGCTGGCATCCCCGGCTACATTGCCCCATCTCTAACCCAGCCCACGCTGAGACCACCCTCGAACCCCAGCTGTCTTTGCTTTCTTTCCAAACCACCGCTAGATTGGAAAAATGCCACGACATCCTTTGGGAATATCACCCAGTGTCTTCCAGCAGCAACGAGAGGAAGGTTCTCTGTATCTAACCTAAGTCTCCACAGCTACGGTTTCATACCTTGCTCCTCAGCCAGGCTGGAGTCAGTCCAGGGGTTCTGGGGACCCTACTGGCCAAGCCACACCTATAGACAAGATGCACGGCACCGCCCCCTCCTCTCCCTGGGTGGTACTGCGCCTGCGTCCTGATGTCCCTTCTCCGGCCAGCAGAGTCTGGTGTCCATGCCTTTGCTCACACTGGGGCCTCCTCCCCCAAACATAACGTTCTCTTTCGAGCCACATCTGTCCAATGCGTATGGTCAGTCCCCACCATAGGCTCCAGAGCCCCCCCAGCAGATCTGTGCAGCCCCCACAAACCTTCGCCTCCCCCCATATATCCCTCACCCACACCGAGTGTGCTGTACATAGGCGAGCACTGGAAACAACAAAAACCCAGACCTGGGCTCAAATCCCAGCTGTCCCATTCACTGGCTCTGGGCCTCAGTGGTCACTGCTGCAAAATGGAAAGTCAGAAAAGGCCCCAGGAGACAAGGTGCGGAGGGCACACAATGAGAAGGGGATGCACGGGAAGAATGGTTGTCTCGGTGCAGTGGCCTGACCCGGGCTGCAGCCCTGGGGGTGACTGCAGAGACAGATGAGCCCAGTGAGCGCCCTCCAGCCATGACCAGGCGGGGGAGCTGACAAGTGTTTGCTGAACACTCACTGTTTGGCAACCCCCAGCGCCAGGGACCCTCCCATGCCGTGTGTGGGTATGTGAACACCAGCCCTGTTGGGAGCCGTTATCTACCAAGTACTCGTTGTGAAGCTGACCCTGCGCGCAACGCCTTACGAAAATTATCTTACTAAATCTCCATGATCCCTGAGGCATCGGAGCTCTGGCTGACCTACGCTGATGGATTGATGGATGAGGGACAGAGGCCCCACAAGGAGGTCCCCACTGTCCCCACCTGGGCTGGGCTGCTGCCAGCCTGGACCAGCTCACGAGTCCCCTGTTCCGCCCTCTGGAATCTGGGTAGCTCGGCCTCAGCCCGGTAGGAGTATTTGTACCGTGGATGTTGGCAGATGCTACAAATTTGCTTTTGGGGGGGGGGGTGTTGTTGTTTTTCCCTGCATGTTGCTAAGACACTTAACAGCACCCCGTTGTCCTGCCACTATCAGCAGGTGCTCAGGGTGGCGCTGGGAACCTTTCTCAAACTCTTGAGAGCCCCCAGCCAAGCTGGGCAGGGGGATGAGGGGGAGGAGGGAGGGGGACCAGCAAGGTCACTGGCGGGCATGAGCACTCTGGCTCCAGCCTGGGGGCGGGGGGGCTGGAATGCCCTTCCCCCACCGCCCGTTCCACTAGTTACAGTGGTCTGTGAGCGGTGACTTCTGTGTGTCCCCACTAGACAGAGAGCGACTTGCAGGCAGGGCTGCAGTGTTCCCTGGTGCATGGAACAGTCACAGCACATCCTTACGGGCCCAGAGAACAAGGCCTGACGGGCTGGGGCTGCTGCCCCAGCTGTACCAGGCTGTGCAGTGCCCAGTGCCAGATAAGAGGAAGGATAAGGATAAGAATTTCCACTAAGTGCTAGACTCCAAGGCAGGGACAGATGAACAGTTTCTGTAAAGGACCAGATACTAAAGTTTTTGGCTTCACGGGCCGTATACTGTTTGTCACAGCTACTCAGCTCTCCTGTTCTAGAGCAAAAGCCGCCGGAGACATTATGTAAATGATGAGCATGGCTATGCCCTCAGAAACAGCCTTTCAAGAGCTTCAGCTCTTACTGAATGACCCCCAAGATGGCCAGCACTACCTCTGACCCCGGGCAGCCAGCACGTTCCCTGCTACCTGCTCTAACCATGTAAAATCTCACTTAATTCTCCCAAGATTATATGAAGTAAGTACTCTTCATATCCCCATTTTACAGATAAAGAAATTAAGACTCGGAGAGGAGAGGAAAGGACTCAACCAAGGTCCCACAGGTAGGAGATGCCAGCGCTGGGATTTGGACGTAGGCATGACAGGTCTTAAAAGCCTGGCCGCTTCAAGCTGGGCTGCCCCTGCCCCCCGGAGCCTGGCCTGAGGACATGCTCCCACTCCTGAGCTAGACCCAGGCTGAAGGGTAGAGAGGGGGCCCCAGAAGGGAAACAGGTCATGAAAGGGACCTGCCAAGCTAGAAACATAGCCAGCAGTGAGCTGGGGGAGGCCAAGAAAAATCAAGGCCCATCTCCTGCAGGCTTCAGGGTGTGGGAACCCAGGTTTGCATGAGCTTCTTGGGACCAGCATCAGCTCCCAGTCAGCTCAGCTGCTCTCAAAGAGGGGCCAGCAGCCCTTCCCCTAGGCCCTGATGGGGCAGACCCTGGTGGTTGACCCGTTGACTGCTACAGTCTCCCCCAGCAGGGTTTCTTGTTGCAAAAGCATCTCCCTTCTTATGGACTGGGGACAGGATGGTCCAGCTGAGACCCCTGGAATGACAGGAGCCTTCAATGGGTAGCTCCTGAGAAGCCCCCATGAGTGTTGGTCATTTCTGACCGAGGCTGATATTCCTAATGTTGATTCATTGACACAACAGGGGCACTGACCACTCAGAACAGAGACTGGGCACCTTGGGGACCCCCTCCCCTTCCCCTGAGGTGGCTGGCATTCACCCTTTCGCTGCTAGGTTGTGGGCAAGTCTGGAAAGTCCCCAGGGCGGGACACTTAGAGGCCCAGAGCAGCTCCGGAAAGCCAGCACTGTGCAGGGCATGAGAGAGAAGCCAGAGCCCTCACTGCATGCCTGGGCAGAGGAGAGAGGCGCAGAAGCCATGCAGGTCCCAAACCTTTGATGGCAGACAGGACTGCGTCTTCCCCGTGCGTCCCTCGCTGCCTCTCTCTGGCCGGGCACCCTGGGCAGTGCTCTCTTGGATGGGCGGCTCGGAGACAGCTGGTGAGTGTGGCCAGAGCTGGAGGGGCTTTTCACCCAACCGGCTGCTCCCCGGACACCCGGGGCCGTCGTCCTGGGCCTCCGCCCCCGAGACGCAGCTGGAGGGAGCCCGAGCCCACTCCGCTAAATCTGTCCAGCTCACTGCTGGCCAGAGCCGCCCGCCAGTCCAGGGAACCTACAATTTCACCTCATTTGGAGGTGAGGCTTCTAAATTTAACAGCGTGGGCTCTCAGGGCTGGGTGGCTTTTAGGCCTAAGTCCCTCACTTAGGGCTCTTTTATATCCTCTCAAATGCCAAGCAGGGCTTAGTTTGCTTATAGGAGTTTCCAAAATAGACCCTTTGGTCTAGCACGAAAGGAAGTGGCAAAATAGGCCAGGATGTTGAGTTTATGCCTAAGAGGGATGGGCGGCCGGAGGAGGCCAGGCTGGGAACCAGACTGTCTGCGCCCAATGGAGGCCAACTCCCTCATTTCACCGGTGAGCCCCCTGACTGGCCCGGATGGCCCAGAAGTGAATGGAAGGGCCAGCCCAGTGCCCAGCTCCATGGCTGCAGCCACATCCAGGCCGTGGCCTCTCCCTCCCTGGCGTGCCCTTCCTGTAAGTCACCCCTGATGCTCCCTCCCAGCCTATAGGTCCCAGCAAAAACGTCACCTCCTCAGAGAGGCCCTCCCCAGCCCCCCCGGGCTACAGTGGCCTCCCTCCTCACTTGTCTGAAATCCTTCAGACAAGTCCTTGCCGTCCCACATTGTCTGGTCAGCAGCTTGGGAGTTGTGAGGCCCCTCCATGAGCCGTAGCTCCACAGGGCAGGGGACTTTTTGGTCTCGCTCACAGCTGTATGTCCAGGACCTCATCAACTAAGGGGACCCCCAAAAGTACTGGTTCCTAAGTGACTGATTGAACAAGTGAACAATGGAAGGACGTCTCTTCAGAACTGTCCCTAGGATTCCTTCACTCGATTTGTCCCTTCAATATACATGTATTGAGTGCCGACTGAATGCAGGCACTTGGCATATGGCTGTGAACTAGTCCATCAAGAGACAGGAATTAGGACATGAAGAAATGAAGCTGGATTGTGACGGGGAACAAGAGGCCTGGGGAGCTGACAAGGACCCCTCCCTAACCCAGCCAAAGGGGAGTAACTTGGGAGACCCCTTGGGGGAAGCCATATGTTGAAATCTAAAGGAGGAGGAGGAGGAATTGGGAGAGATAGGATGCTGGAAGTGTGTGCCAGGTGTCAGGAACAGCATGTGCAAAAGCTCAGAGGCAAGAGATGGGGTCAATTAGATGAACTTAGTTCAATGTGTGTGGCTGGAGCATTGGGTACAAAAGAGACTCCCTGAGGGGCTATTGGAACCAGACTTAGGTGGGGTGGGGGTTTAAGCTGCATCCAGGGAGAAATATGCAGGAAAGGCCTCCAGCACCCTCTGGCTCTGGGAATGGTGCCCTTTGATTTCCTTCACTTACTCGCTATGCCCTACTGCACACCTTGCTGGGCAATGCTGTGTCTCAGTAGGCAATTACAGGGTGCCTACTGCATGCCAAGCCCTTGAACATGGCACCTCCATCCAGGGGCTGGGAGCAGTCACACTGGGGAGACTTCTTCCCCTTTGGCCCAAGGTCCATGCCTCCTGGGCCAGCACAGACCACCACTTATGGAGAAGCTCAGACACTCTGAACCACCTATACCAGCTTGAGCTAGGGTTTTGCCCTCCGCAGTCAATCCCTGACCCACCCACCCCTGCTTCCCCCACAAACAAGGCCCAGACATTTGATAGTCCCCTGAGAGGGAAGATCCCATAGCTAACCCACAGAGGACAGAGGCCATGTTAGGTCTGGTCTCCTCCACCTTGGGCACCTCTTTCTCTCTGCTGAGCCCAGTGGGCCCCGTTCCTACCAGATGTTTCTAGATGCTTCTCTCCCCACTGCTAGGGATCTGTTCATCTCTCCCAAGCCAGGAAAGCAGGACCAGGGGATCTGCATGTGATCTTGGATAAGTTCCCTCCCCTCTGAGCCTCTGCATCCCTGTCTGTAAAGTGGGAGGACTGCGGAGGACTAGAGTTCAGGGTCGCCCAAGCGCAGGCCACTCTGGGCCAAGTAAGGAACATAGAGTAGACACCGTGACTCCCTTGCCTCAGTCCACTTTCTGTCCTGGCTCCCCAGCAATCTAACGCTGTCACCCCTCATTCACCCGAGCACAGAGCTGGCCCCAAGCACAGCGTGATAGGCAGGAGAGGGACGAGCTGAGCTTTATTCAGGGTTCTTGTTGAATTTCTTTTAAGGTAACCTCCTATTTAGAACAAACTGTCTTCTGTATGATAGAAAGTGTTTTTTAACAAATAATAGCACATTTAAATGAAGAGTAATGGATTTGAAGGACACTTGGCTTCAGTAGAGCAGGTAGGAACCCAGCTTCTTGGCGGTCCACATTTCTAGGTCCCCCCCTGTGGAAATAGGACCGCTAGCTGGGGGGAAGGGGGGATGGGAAACCCAGGTGTGTCTCTGCAGGTGGCCTGATGGAGAGCCAGATGTGCGGACAGCGCTGGTTTCTAGTGGAAGGGAGCCCTAACTGTCCCCCCAGAGTTTGTTGTCCCAGGGCTGCAAGGCAAATGGAAACTTCCTGATGGTTCAAGACCAGGCATGGGAGTCAGGCTCCGGGATCCAAGAGGCTCCCTTCCCTCAGTTTATCACACAGCCTATAGCCCCCTGTGACCTTCCTGCCCAGGGCAGTACTGCGAGGTGTCCATGACCTGCTCCAGCTGAAGCCTAGAGTCTCAAAGGGACCAGTCACGGGGTGGGGGGGGCAGGTGCACCATCTCCCCAGTCTTCACAGCACACCTGTGACCCTTTTACAGATGAGAACCTCAGGTGAGGCCGCAAAGGGCCAAGTGAGGGAGAGGTTCAGTAGCCCAAATGTCTCAGCCGCACGGAGGAAATTTATGTGGCCACGAGAGGTAGGAATATGGTTTTGAGGAATAATGACATGGGAAAATAAAAGGTGTTCAAAGTACGATGTGGTGTAAGAAGACCGAGAGGTAAGCTGTATACGACCTGGCCTCAATCTTATTTTTGAGACGATACCTTACCGATGTTCTGCAGAGGACATGAACTCCTTCATAGTTAGAAAAAAAAATGTTAATTTGAAGAAAACAGAACACATGGTTGCCATGTCCTTGGTTGCATAGTAATTAAGCAGGGCTGACTGCCTGTCCTCTGACCCGGAGAATGTTGCTTTTCAGGATGAACCTGGGGTCAAAGGAGAAACTTTCCTCTTAAAAAGAAAGAAGGAAAGAAAGAAAAACAATTTTTTTTTGAAGGCCCACAAATATTATCTACACTCCCAGGCAACTCCGCTGGGCTTTTAGGAGGTAAAGATGACTCATGAATTTCTGTGAAATATCCAGAGGGTGTTTGGATTTAAATGGCCCCTTCACTGATCTGATCGCCACCAACAGGCTCCCATCACGCTCCCATCACCTGGTGTGCGCGGGGCCCCTGGGAAAGACGGCAGGTCTTTAGGGAAGGGGCCTCTTGGGGCCGCCATGGGGGTAAGAGTGTGCGTGCAGCTGGGGCACGTGGCTGGGAAAGACAGGGCCTGGAGGCAAGATAACAGAGATGGGGGCACGAGAACTGATCCTCTGGGAAGCACGAGATGGGCAGCTGAAGCCCCTTGCACATGCAGCCTCCACACTGGTCTGTGGCTGTAGGATCAGCTCTAGAAAACAGGCTGGCCGAGGGGTTCCTGGGGGGCTCAGTCGGTTAAGCGTCTGCCTTCAGCTCAGGTCATGATCCCAGGGTCCTGGGATCGAGCCCCCAGAGCAGACTCCTTGCTCAGCAAGGAGCCTGCTTCTCCCTCTCCCTTTGCCGCTCCCCCTGCTTATGCGTTCGCTCTCTTTCTCTCTGTCAAATAAATAAAATCTTGAAAGAAAGGAAGGCAGAAAGGAAGGAAGGAAGAAAGCAAAAGAGGCCGGCCGGGAGGGCCCAAGATAGAGGGATGGTGTAGACAGACCCCTCCTGGTGCTGTCCTCATTGGCAGGTCGGGGTGAGGCCAAGCAGGGCTCAGTGTTCCTGGCCAGGCACCTGTTTGATGTCAAAAACCGAGAGCGGTAATACTGCTAATGAGAACCAACACTATGAGAACACTTGCTGTGTATCCCTGCCCTGTTCTAAGAATTAACTCGTTTCATCCCTGGTACCCAGAGAGTTTGGCCTCCATGGCGCTCTGGATCCACTGAGCGGCACCCCCTTCGCACATCCTGGACACGCGGCATCTCCCACAGCACCCTTCTGAGGCGGGCACTGCTACCACCCCCATTTTACAGACTGGGAGACTGAGGCTTGCGGAGCTGAAGTGGCCGGAACTCACAAGGGGCAGCATCATGTCACTGTAACTCCCCTGCAAACACACGTGTGGGCAGTGTGCCTCCAGCGTGTGTGCACACCCAGCACACCCTGGCCATGACCGAGCACCATGTGTAGGACTCTACCCAGAAGCCCTCGCCGCACGCTGGGTGTGGGAGGGTCTTGGCCTCAGCACTGACCCTTTGGGCCAGATCATTCTTTGCCGTGGGGTTCGTCCTGTGTATTTATCATTGCTGGGTACCAGGAGCCCTGCCCCCTCCAGGGTGACAACTGGGGGTGTCTGCAGACACTGCCACGTGTCCCCCGGGAGGCAGAATCGCCTCCAGTGGAAACCACTGGGTTCAAGGCCGCGCTTCAGTCTGTGCTCAAGGACTAGTGATTTAGCGTCGTGGGCGTCAGGGATCATTTCCGCGGCTGCTGAAAATGGCAGTGAAGGGACTTACTTTGTTGGTTAAAAATGGGGGAGCCCAGCAGCCCAAAAGCTACAGAAGGGGCCCTGGGGCCACAGCCTCTGCACCCCCCCACCCCCCGTGCGTGCACCCGCACACTCACACCCTCACACCGGGATGTGGCCAAGGGCCTGGGGACTGAGAGCGACGGCTCGAGCTCGGAGAAGAGCTTGGGGGCCTCCTCGGGCATCTGCTGTCACATCCGAGCCCTGCGCAAGACCCCCGCCTGGCAGCGAAGAGAGGCCCAAAGGCAGCCTACTCGTTTCATCCGAAAGACCCTGACCACTGATGAACACACACCGGCCCGGGTTCACTTAACACAGGCAGGACTTGGATTCAGCTCCGCACTGAATGAGCTGAACCCTGCAGTTGGGGACACAGACCCTCCCGGCTGCTCACCCACACAGCATTACAGCGGCCTCTCCTAACCCTGCCGACGGCGGAGCAAGAATGCCATTCCCGCCTGCTGACGCCGGGAGAAAGGCCCGGTGCCTCGCCCTGGGCCGAGGTCACGGGGCACGCGGGGCTTGTGCGTGGGGCCCACGGGAATGGTCGGATTACTTTTAAAACCAGAAGATCAGAAATAAACCTGTAGGGCGCCTGGGTGGCTCAGTGGGTTAAAAGCCTCTGCCTTCGGCTCAGGTCATGATCCCAGGATCCTAGGATCGAGTCCCGCATTGGGCTCTCTGCTCCGCAGGGACCCTGTTCCCTCTCTCTGTCTCTGCCTGCCTCTCTGCCTGCTTGTGATCTCTGTCAAATAAATAAATAAAATCTTTAAAAAAAAAAAAAAAAGAAATGTATCTGTAGGTTAAACAGAATGTCTTATTATATGATATCATACGTGCTACATATTAATAGCATGTGTTTTTAAATGGAATTTATCCAACCTTATACCAATTCAGTCGTAAATGGACCCTGCCCTTTGCCCGCCCTCCCTAGAACAGTGCTGCTCCCTCTCCCCCCAAGGCTCCCTCTCTAGCTCCTTCCCCGCCCCCACCTCCTTGCTCCTCAGCCTGGCCCTAACCCTAACCTTAACCCAGCCTCGCAGAGACAGAGGACCCGAGAGAGAGCCAGGTCCTTGACCTTGTGCTTCACCTGAATACACTCTTTTGACCTTCACCAAAATGCTACGCCATGTGTGCCACTTTGTCCTGTTCTGGCCCATAGGATCTAGAAGTTCCAGCCCAGACAGCCCGACTTCCGAGTCAGCCTCTTATCCACAGGCCTTCACTGAGAGCTTTCCGGAACTGGCAGGGGCTTTGCCGACGTCATTGAGCCTTGGACCCCCCCCCACCCCCAGTCTCCCACTGAGTCCTGTTCAGATTCTCCCCTTCTTGGACAGTTGGATCCCCTCCTCCTCTCACCTCATTCGCGTGTTGTTCTCTGGGGCGTGGGCAAGTGGGCTTTTTCACCCTCCTCTCCCTGATTGCTCCTGAGATCGAGAGTATTTCTGTAAACTCATTATCTTTAGCATCTCCCGTTCTGGAACTTACCAGTTCAAGTTCTTTTGTCCCAGCTACCTAGCTTTTTCTCGGTGACTTCTAGTTTTCTTCCAGCCCCTCACTCACCCTTTTTCTTGTTCTTCATGATGTGTCTGTGTGTGCGTGTGTGTATGTGTAGCAAAAGCTCCAAATATTTATGTGACCAGATCTGTCAGCATTGTCCTTCTACATTTTAAGAGTTTGGAACCTGCTCTCTGCACCTCTAAGATTAAGTTTCTACTCTGTAGACCACTGAAGTCTAGCTCCTTGGGTGAGAATTTCGTCTTCCCGGCCAGGCTGTAAAGTCCTCAGCAGCCTCTCCCTCCTCCGCAGAGGGCCTTGGCCAAGAGATTTCACTATCTGCTCTGCTTCTCAGAAACACCCTGAGTCGGTTCCCTCCTTTTCATCCCCTCCCCCAGCGCCAGGCCCCCACCCCTGCCACCTTTCTGGTCTTCACTGGTCCCCCTGCCTCCACCTGGCCCTCTGCCCCAACATGAAAACCACAGTGAGCTTCTAAAAATGTCCATCAGGTTTCTGACATCCCTCCTCAGGCTTGCAGCTTCTGGACACACCTAGAACTGAAATCTTACCCCTGGAACTGTACCTGCAAGGCTCCGAAGAGAGGCCTCGTTCAGGGGTGCCTCGGGATGGAGCCCAGAGAGGGACGGGCGAGAGCTCCCTATCCTCTGCCCAGGAAGGCAAGAGCACCTGTTGTGCCCTTTCTCCTCCCTCCGCCCCCGCCAGAATGAATCACAACTGATCTTGTTCTAGTAAAGGCAGGGGCTGAGGAAGACTTGCAGTGTCTTCACATAACCCATCCTACCTCCACCCGTTCTCACCCAGCCTGGGAGGCAGGCAGGAAGAGGTGTCAGCCCCTCACCCTGTTTACAGCTTAATGCTGTGGCTCAGCGAGGGCAAGTGGTTTTACCACACTCACACAGCCGGGGGAAGGGGGTGGGTGGAGACGTCTGGCAGGGAGGAAATACTGGCGTTCAAACGCATTTTGAGCACTTGAGTAGTGGCACGTGAGGAGAGAGGCTGAATAGGGACCTCACTGGGAGACCCTGGGTGGGTGAGGGGCTAGGGCTCTACTGGGGAGCCCAGCAGGTATTAACACTTCA